ACATAATCTACGTTTCTGCACGAGAAAAAACGGAAACTGCCGGATCTGTCACTCTGACTGCAATACATTCCAGGCTGCACAGCCAACATTTAGCTGAAATTGTTGCAAAAAATGAAAGTGATGTATTATATGTATAATTGCTATCCCAAATGTTTTATGTAACAAATGCTTGACCTTTACTTCGCGGTATCGTTGACGTGTTATGACGTGTTATCTATTAGCCGCATATATTGCCGCATGTATTGAGGTCCACGAGACAGTCTGCCAGGCTACTGGGATGAGGCCTGCGGCAGCACAAATTCAGCGCAGGTTGGAACTCCGATCTCAGGCTGCCAGGGCAAGAAACAGGAGGATGATGCGAAGATGCGAAGGGAAGGAGGATGAGAGGAAGAGCGTGAGTGACATAAAGTTTAGAGACATCCACTTGCCATTCGTTGGTTTTCTGATGTTTTTTGTGTGTGTCACCATTATCTAACATGACTACGCTCCAATTCCACTGCAGGGGCCCCTGCGTTTCTGGCGCTAGGTTTGTTTTCATCTTTCAGAAACAGAATGAGGCTCAGAACAGAACGCCATAGAACTGTTGTTGAACACAGCACCGCTCGGTTGGAGGGGCATTGAAACGTGTACGTACACAGCCATTGGGACATGCAAATGTTCACGGATGGCAGGCCTATGAAGCTGTTTTCCGGCATATCGTTCGCAGGCTTTCGGGTTTTTGCGTGAAGGTGGTTCAACAAAGCGCCTCTGTTTTTCAGGGCGCTGAAGCTCTGTTTGCCCGCCGTCAAACGCTTCAAACCCTTCCTTCAAACCCTTCCGCGGCCTTTCCAAGGCAACTCTCGCAGCTACACGCCCCAGCCATCTGTTTTTCAGGGCGTTCAAGACTGCCGTTTGCCCGCCTTCAAACCCCTCAAACCCTTCAAGCCCTCCCGCAGGCCTTCCGCAGGCCTTTCCATGGCAACTCTCGCAGCTACACGCCCCAGCCATCTGTTTTTCAGGTTGAAGCTCTGTTTGCCCGCCCTCAAACCCTTCAAACCCTTCAAACCCTCCCGCAGGCCTTTCCAAGGCAACTCTCGCAGCTACACCCCCAGCCATCTGTTTTTCAGGGCGTTCAAGCGTGCCGTTTGCCCGCCCTCAAACCCTTTAAACCCTTCCGCAGGCCTTTCCAAGGCAACTCTCGCAGCTACACGCCCCATCCATGGGCTACAAGAGCCTGTCATTCACCGTTTCTCATCTATCTATCTATCTATCTATCTATCTATCTATCTATCTATCTATCTATCTATCTATCTCTCTCTCTATCTCTCTATCTCTCTATCTCTCTATCTCTCTATCTCTCTATCTCTCTATCTCTCTATCTCTATCTCTCTCTCTCTCTCTCTCTCTCTCTACAGGACCCCCCAAATAGGGGGGTCGGCGGCACCAGGGCGCTAGCCCATTCTATAATGATGACATGTTGCAATGCTGAGCCTACATCTCAATGCATTTGATCAACGCTGTCCGTTTTTCCATCTTGCATGTCAATGTGCAGTTTCATTTGTTCAGGACTGCCCGCACGAACTGTTGCAGAATTAAACGCCCGCACATGCTGATTTTTCGATTGAGGGTGTTCACCTCCAGTGCTCTTGCTGTGCAATGTTTTCCCAAGTCTCTCAGCACAGACATGCACAGACTACATGACACGAAGTACGCTTTGCGAAGTGCAGTCATTGCCCAAATTACCAGGAACCTTCACTATCAAATCCGTTGTTACAAAACATGTTCCGTGTACTTCTTGTTGTGGCGCATGACGGTTGATGTGTGATGCTGGACATCAGTTTTTAGAGCCTGTTCCTTGGAATCTGGATGCGTATAAAAACTTGTCTGTTGCCCTGTATGTTTAGCTTACTTCTTGGTCCTCCATCTTTCCGTGCATCGTTCGCATCGTCCCCAGAACGCATCAAGAGTCCCTCTGTAAAGAAAACGTGATTTCAGTGCGTTATTCGCATCAGAGTTCCAACTGTCAAAGCCGATGCGCTGGCAAAGTGCATGTAAACAGTGGACGGTTTTTTGCGTCGGAGAGAGCATTGCTTCAATTCCTTCCAACCCTAGATTTCATAGGCGAAATGTCAAGAAAAGGCTAACAGAAATGGCACCGCACATCCGATGGCACTAGGCGGATTGGACGGCGGACTTGCGATGATCGACAGACTATGTCTCGTTTCATCTTGATTTGGCGGGTGTGGGATGCTTGACAAGACCAAGCTAAACATCCGTACGAGTGCGGTCCAGAATGTATTCAGATGTAATACCGCACTTCATTCAGAGCTGATGTAATAACACGACAAAACATTTAAGAAGCTGAAGTGCGGTTGTAACGCTGCATTCTCTTTTGCATCTTTTACTACAAGCTTAGTACTTCCACTAGCAGCACTAGCATCACGTCGTAGTTTTTGAATCCAGGTGACGACGGTGACGCGGCAGCTGAACGCAACGTGATAGCCATGACACCATCGCTGGGCGGGTCACTGAAGGCGTCCAGCCGAGGAGTCGGTCGCCAAGATTGACGAGAAAGAGGCACAGGAAAAGAATGCCAAAGCAAGCAAAGTCGGAAAGTCCATTGGACCCTAAGACTCAAGAGGCCCGAAAAGAGGATACAAAAAGCATGAAAAAGCATCAAAAAGCTAACATTGGAATGGAAACAGGACGCGAAGGATGCAAAGGATGCAAAGGCCATAATAGCTCCGAGCTCTTACGCATGCTGCGTGACTTGATGTGACTTGTCTGACACATGTTTGGAAGACGCCATGACATCAGGACATCATGATGACATTCCAAAGCCTAAAAAGTTTAAATAGATCGAAATAGGTCTAAATAGTACCTACCATTTAACTCCCAACATGGTAACTTTCTTGGTGCGCTGAATTGTTCGCTCCTCTCGAGTGGAAGTTTCGGTGTTCTCGGGCGAAGTGACGCTATTCACACGATACGTTGAGCCCTTTGATGCCCTTTGATGCCCTTTGTTTCGCAGTGGTAGGCTCACATTGAGATTGCAACGTGGAACGAGGGTGAGTTTAGATTCAGCATCCTTCAATCCTCCAACGTTCGGTAGTCAACCGGTGACGCCTTATAGGTCGATAGTGCAAGACTATGGGAAGCCGTCCTTTTTTCTGCGCCGCTCTTTGTCACACGCAGATAATCGCAGATACATTGAACTGATTCAAACTCATTCATACCTCGCTAATGTGAATTTCATGCAAAGACACTATCAGAAGTACCTGTGCGGCGCGGTTTCGTTGGGTCTGCTGGGTGAAGGAAGTTTCTGAAGCGGACTTGTCTTACAAGAGGCCCACTTCTGAGCTGACTGCTGGGAGATACAGTCAATATTGACTACATGGTAATAAATGCGAATAAGCTATAACTGCTATGACAGACCGCCTATGCCAAATAGATCCAAATAGATTATTACTATTTGCCCTCCGGCCCCTCGGGAATTAGATTCTCAAATTGTCCAACCCATCAATTCGTCTGCTTCTCCTTCATTGATTTCTATCAATCTTCACTGGTGAATTAGCCTCACAAAGTTTTCAGCTGTCCTGGCTACCTCTCTTATCTATTCAATTTATTCTTATCTTTCCTATTCTCTCCTCTGGCATTTGCAACAGCTGGGAGCCCAACTGGCAGACTGAGAAAGCATCAGGGATGGAGATTGCTCCTGATTTCAGAACGACCAAAACGGAGTGAGTTCGACCAAAGAAAACACGAAAGAACTTCAAAACGATCCAGCAGAATCCATGATATTCAGATTTGATTCATGCTCAAAGCAACCTAATATCAACAAACATCTATTTAGTGACCATTGACCATAGTCAACGGTTTTAAGTTGTAACATGTCAGTAACATTCAGAAACCCATTATATAAATTATAACCCATTCATAAATTACTGATGGATCACTTACCATGGCTGCCATGGCCACGAATCAGGGAACTGAGTTCCCGTGCGACGCCCTGGAAGTGCTGCTTCAACTCCGCGGTGATCGCCTCCAACGCCTGGCATGATGCGATGCTTTATGGTAGTACATGTAGTAGGGTTATATTATGTTATATTATGTTATATTATGTTGTATTATGTTATATTATGTTATATTATGTTATATTATGTTATATTATGTTATATTATGTTATATTATGTTATATTATGTTATATTATGTTATATTGTGTTATATTGTGTTATATTATGTTATATTATGTTATATTATGTTATATTATGTTATATTATGTTATATTATGTTATATTATGTTATACTATGTTATATTATGTTATATTATGTTATATTATGTTATATTATGTTATATTATGTTATATTATGTTATATTATGTTATATCATCTAAACACGTAATATTGTTATATTTTGTTATATTATGTTTCGCTAATATCATAAATTATCATAAAATAGAATGATATATAGTGATTATAAGTCATGTTATATGTTGTAGTTGTCTACAATACTGGAGATTTTCATCCTGAAATGTTGCAAAAATCTGTTCCTGAACACGAGAAGATCGAGAAGAACCCTTGACAAAAAGGGGATCTTCAGTCATCCGTATTCCGAATATATGCTGTGGCTCAAATTGCATTCTACACAACCTCCATCATGTCCATGTCATCTTGAAGTGCTACCACAACCCTCTGGCCTGCTGCTGCTGTGCAACCTTACAGCTTGCAGCATTGTTCTTGGCAGCAAACTTTAAGGCTGTAAGATGCTGCAAGGGTTTACTCTGTATTCAAGATGCTCAAGGACTAACCAGTTTCGATGCCCTCTGTGAATTTCTGCGGGTTCTGCCTCTGAAAGACCTTCATAACAATGAGACTCTTGCTGGTTTTGGTGAACAATCAAGTTCAATCAAGCAATTTTTCTTCATCACAGAGTGGGCTCTACTGAAGTCGGCCAAGACCATTTTTGCTCCCGCAGTCATTCTCACGCATGCGCGCTGGCCGGCCCCTGGAAATTTGGCATTCACACGAGCCAAAGACCTCAAAGGGCAACAAATACAGCAAGGCCAGGTGCAGCCGTTTGGGTTTGTCGGTGTCCAGTTTGCGCCAACCTTTAGTCTAATCTTTGTTGGGTTTGAATCTGGTCGCGTTTCAAACTAGAGAAATCTCTGCAGTCAAGACTCCCTTGTATTCACAAAGGTTGCTGGATATTGCAAGCATATATGAAAGATGTACGTTGCAAACCCTAGGTTCGCCGGCGGCGAATCCCGCATATCCTTTGACATGCTCAAATCCCTGCGTAGGGTTTATTCCCGAATGCGTAGCGAAGGGTTCCCGTTTATAGTCTGGGGGTCTGGGGGCTGGACCCTTGTTCGCCTCCAGTTGGTCGGCGCATCGTTTTCGCGTCGTTTTTCGCGTCGTTAATTCGGTGTCTATAGGGGAAGCTGCAAAGCCTCGTGAGTTTTGCTGCACACACGTCGCCGTGTCTATGGGGAAAGCTGCAAAACTTCGTGTTTGTGCAAGTTTTGTAGTATACGGTAGTACTGGAACGTGTTTGTGCAAGTTTTGTAGTATACGGTAGTACTGGCAACGTGTTTGTGCAAGTTTTGTAGTATACGGTAGTACTGCAACGTGTTTGTGCAAGTTTTGTAGTATACGGTAGTACTGGAACGTGTTTGTGCAAGTTTTGTAGTATACGGTAGTACTGGAACGTGTTTGTGCAAGTTTTGTAGTATACGGTAGTACTGGCACGTGTTTGTGCAAGTTTTGTAGTACACGGTAGTACTGGCGACGTGTTTGTGCAAGTTTTGTAGTATACGGTAGTACTGGAAGGTGTTTGTGCAAGCTTTGTAGTATATGGTAGTACTGGCAACGTGTTTTTGCAAGTTTTGTAGTATACGGTAGTACTGCAACGTGTTTGTGCAAGTTTTGTAGTATACGGTAGTACTGGAACGTGTTTGTGCAAGTTTTGTAGTATACGGTAGTACTGGAACGTGTTTGTGCAAGTTTTGTAGTATACGAAAGTACTGGAACGTGTTTGTGCAAATTTTGTAGTATATGGTAGTACTGGAAAGTGTTTGTGCAAGTTTTGTAGTATACGGTAGTACTGGAACGTGTTTGTGCAAGTTTTGTAGTACACGGTAGTACTGGAAGGTGTTTGTGCAAGTTTTGTAGTATACGTAGTACTGGAACGTGTTTGTGCAAGTTTTGTAGTATACGGTAGTACTGGAGCGTGTTTGTGCAAGTTTTGTAGTATACGGTAGTACTGCAACGTGTTTGTGCAAGTTTTGTAGTATACGGTAGTACTGGAACGTGTTTGTGCAAGCTTTGTAGTATACGGTAGTACTGGAACGTGTTTGTGCAAGTTTTGTAGTATACGGTAGTACTGGAACGTGTTTGTGCAAGTTTTGTAGTATACGGTAGTACTGGAACATATTTTTCCAAGTTTTGTAGTATACGGTATACGGCAGTACTGGAGTACTGCAACGTGTTTGTGCAAGCTTTGTAGTATACGGTAGTGCTGCAACGTGTTTGTGCAAGTTTTGTAGTATTCGGTAATACTGCAACGTGTTTGTGCAAGTTTTGTAGTATACGGTAGTACTGGAACGTGTTTGTGCAAGTTTTGTAGTATACGGTAGTACTGGGAGCGACTTTGTGCAAGCTTTGTAGTACACAGTAGTACTGGGAACGACTTTGTGCAAGCTTTCTAGTAGACAGTAGTACTGGAACGTGTTTGTGCAAGCTTTGTAGTACACAGTAGTGCTGGGAACGACTTTGTGCAAGCTTTGTAGTATACAGTAGTACTGGGAAAGTGTTGGTGCAGTACAATGTAGTACTGCGAAGCGCTTTGTGCAAGCAGTGCAGTACAAAGTAGTACTGGGAAGTAGTTTGTGCAAGCGTTGTAGTACACAGTAGTACTGGGAAGTGCTTTGTGCAAGCTTTGTAGTACAAAGTATTACTGGGAAGTGCTTTGTGCAAGCTTTGTAGTACAACGTCGTACTGGGAACGACTTTGTGCAAGCTTTGTAGTACACAGTAGTACTGGGAAGTAGTTTGTGCAAACTTTGTGTAAAGTAAGGAGTGTGGAGTGTAAAGTGTGGAGTGAAGAGTGTAGAGTGTGTAAAGTGTAGAGTGTGGAGTGTAAAGTGTAGAGTGTAAAGTGGGGAATGTGGAGTGTAAAGTGTAGAGTGTGGAGTGTGAAGTGGAAAGTGTAGAATGTGAAGTGTGGAGTGCGGAGTGCAAAGTAAGGAGTGTGGAGTGTAAAGTGTGGAGTGTGGAGTGTGCAGTGGGTAAAGTGTGGAGTGTGGAGTGACGAGTGTGGTGTGTGTAGAGTGTAGAGTGTAGAGTGTGGTGGAGTGTGAAGTGTAAAGTGAAAAGTGTGGAGTGTGGAGTGTAAAGTGTAGAGTGTGCAGTGTGCAGTGGGTACTGTGTGGAGTGCGGAGTGTGGAGTGTAGAGTGTGGAGTGCGGAGTGTAAAGTGAAAAGTGTGAATTGTAAAGTGTAGTGTGTGGAGTGTGGAGTGTGCAGTGGGTACTGTGTGGAGTGCGGAATGTGGAGTGTAGAGTGTGGATTGTGGTGTGTAAAGTGTAGAGTGTGGAGTATGGAGTGTAAAGTGTGTAGTGTAAAGTGCGCAGTGACGAGTGTAAAGTGGAAAGCGTGGAGTGTAAAGTGTAAAGTGCGGTGTTTAGAATGTCAAGTGTAGAATGAAAGTGCAGAGTGTGGAGTGTAAAGTGTGGAGTGAGGAGTGTAAAGTGCACAGTGTAAAGTGTAAAGTGTGGAGTGTAAAGTGTTGAGGTTTGAGTGAGGAGTGTAAAGTGTAAAGTGTGGAGTGTAAACTGTAGAGTGTGGAGTGTGGAGTGGAAAGTGTAGAGTGTGGAGTGTCGAGTTTAAAGTGTAGAGTGTGGAGTGTAAAGTGTGGAGTGTGGAATGTAAAGTGTGGAGTGTTGACTGAGGAGTGTGGTGTGTGTGTGTGTGTAGAGTGTAGGGTGTGGTGGAGTGTGGTGGAGTGTAGTGGAGTGTAGTGTATGTATGGAGTGAGGAGTGAGGAGTGTGGAGTGTAAAGTGTGGAGTGTGCAGTGTAGAGTACGGAGTGTAAAGTTTAGAGTGTGTAGTGTGGGGTGTAAAGTGTGGAGTGTAAAGTGTGGAGTGAGGAGTGTAAAGTGGAAAGGGTGGAGTGTTAAGTGTAAAGTGTGGAGTGTAGAGTGTAGAGTGTAAAATGTAGTGTGTAAAGTGTAGTGCGGAGTGTGGAGTGTAAAGTGTGGAGTGTGGAGTGTAGAGGGTGGAGTGAGGAGTGAGGAGTTAAAGTGCAAAGTGTAAAGTGTAAAGTGTGGAGTGTAAAGTGTTGTGTGTGGAGTGAGGAGTGTAAAGTGTAGTGTGTGGAGTGTGGAGTGTGGAGTGGAAAGTGTCGAGTATGGAGTGTGGAGTGTAGAGTGTAAAGTGTAGAGTGTAAAGTGTAGAGTGTGGAGTGTAAAGTGTAGAGTGTGGAGTGTGGCAGGTGGTGGTGATCTTGTTGTGCTGGTGGTGTTGTTGTTCTGGTGAGGTTGTTGTGCTGGTGATTTCGTTGTGCTGGTGATTTCGATATGCTAGTGATTTCGTGTGTCCTGGTGATTTTGTTGCGCTGGTCGACTTTGTGCGAAGTGTAGTACACAGTAGTACTGGGAAGTAATTTGTGTAAACTTTGTGTAAAGTGAGGAGTGGGGAGTGGGGAGTGTAGAGTGTTTAAAGTGTAGAGTGTGGAGTGTGGAGTGTAGAGTGTAAAGTGTAGAGTGTAAAGTGTGGAGTGTGGAGTGTAAAGTGTAGAATGTGGAGTGTGAAGTGGAAAGTGTAGAGTGTGAAGTGTGGAGTGCGCAGTGCGGAGTGCAAAGTAAGGAGTGTGGAGTGTAAAGTGTGGAGTGAAGAGTGTAGAGTGTGTAAAGTGTAGAGTGTGGAGTGTAAAGTGTAGAGTGTAAAGTGGGGAATGTGGAGTGTAAAGTGTAAAGTGTGGAGTGTAGTGCGTGGAGTGTGGAGTGCGGAGTGTAAAGTAAGGAGTGTGGAGTGTAAAAGTAAAGTGTGGAGTGTAAAGTGTTGTGTGTGGAGTGAGGAGTGTAAAGTGTGGAGTGTGGAGTGTAAAGTGTAGTGTGTGGAGTGTGGAGTGGAAAGTGTCGAGTGTGGAGTGTAGAGTGTAAAGTGTAGAGTAAAAGTGTAAAGTGTGGAGTGTAAAGTGTGGAGTGTGGAGTGTGGAGTGAGGAGTGTGGTGTGTGTAGAGTGTGGTGGAGTGTGGATTGTTGTGGAGTGTGGAGCATGGAGTGTGGAGTGTAGTGTGTAGTGTGTGGAGTGTGGAGTGTGGAGTGAGGAGTGTGGAGTGTAAAGTGTGGAGTGTGGAGTGTAGAGTGTGGAGTGTGGAGTGTAAAGTGTAGAGTGTGGAGTGTCAAGTGTAGTGTGTGCAGTGTGAAGTGTAAAGTGTGAAGTGTAAAGTGTGGAGTGAGGAGTGAGGAGTGTTAAGTGGAAAGCGTGGAGTGTAAAGTGTAAAGTGCGGAGTGTAGAGTGTAAAGTGTAGAGTGTAAAGTGTAAAGTGTGGAGTGTAGAGTGTAAAGTGTAGAGTGTAAAGTGTAGAGTGTGGAGTGTGGAGTGTAAAGTGTGGAGTGTGGAGTGTAAAGTGTGGAGTGAGGAATGTAAAGTGCAAAGTGCAAAGTGTAAAGTGTAAAGTGTGGAGTGTGGTGTGTGGTGTGTAAAGTGTAGAGTGTGGAGTGTGGAGTGCGGAGTGCGGAGTGTGGGGTGGAAAGTGTTGAGTGTGGAGTGTGGAGTGTAAAGTGTAGAGTGTAAAGTGTGGAGTGTGGAGTGTAAAGTGTAGAGTGTAGAGTGTAAAGTGTGGAGTGTGGAGTGTAAAGTGTAGAGTGTAGAGTGTAGAGTGTGGAGTGTGGATTGTGCAGTGGGTAAAGTGTGGAGTGTTGCAGGTGGTGGTGACTTCGTTGTGCTGGTGATGTTGTTGTGCTGGTGTTGTTGTTGTGCTGGTGATTTCTTTGTGCTGGTGATTTCGTTGTGCTTGTGATTTCGTTTGTGCTGGTGATCTTGTTGCGCTGGTGCTGTTCGCTGGTGATTTTGTTGTGCTGGTGCTTTCGTTGCGCTGGTGTTGTTGTTGTGCTGGTGATGTTGTTGTGCTGGTGATTTCGTTGTACTGGTGATTTCGTTGTGCTGGTGATTTTGTTGCCCTGGTGATGTTCGCTGGTGCGTTCGTTGTGCTGGTGATTTCGTTGCGCTGGTGATGTTGTTGTGCTGGTGATTTTGTTGCGCTGGTGATTTTGTTGCGCTGGTGCTTTCGTTGTGATTTCATTGCGCTGGTGATGGTGATGTTGTTTTGCTGGTGGTGATTTCGTTTTGCTGGTGGTGATGTTGTGCTGGTTAGTTGTCTCTTTGTGAACTGTTGATCAGGTGCCTTCGCTGAGACGATATGCGCGCACGATGCATGAAAAAAGAGGTTCGTTTTCCTATTGCAGAGGTTTTCACTCGCAGTCCAAGAACGTGAATACATTCGGGTTCGTGGCTTCCATCTTGTTTTTTTTACTTTCCAAAACAACAAACCCTAAAACCCTAAAGCCTAAAACCCTAAATTAAAACTCTAACTCCTGAAAACTTAAAGTCAAAATCACTGCGTATAGCCAGTGTTTTCATTCATCCTCTGGTGACAAGTATATCATATTGTTTGGATGTGTTGTTTGAGTTGGAGGGAAGATGTATTGTGTAGCCCCCTTGTTCCATGCATCCCTTCCCACATCCAATCCCCTCAGCCTCTCAGCAGTGAGAATGTAAGCATTGGCACCAACAGCGCCAGACTGGCCAAGTGTATCAAGTGCTGCAGTTCAGTGGAATGACAGACCACTTTGGCATCAGAAACCATGAGGCTTTGCATTTCTCACAGTGATGTCAAATGCAAGAAGAAATGAAAAGCCCCACTCTCCAAGCACAAAAATCATCAAAATCATGAAGATGCGTAAGTGCGATGAGTATCGTGGTGAGTATCCCTACATTGAGTATCGTCAAGCGTGAAGTATCGTAATGGCTGCGTCCCAACCACTCACATTCAATTCCGCATTTCCGTCTGCAGGCCTGCGAGGCGCAGCAGCGCCGAAGCCGCCAGCCTCAAATTGGACACGTCGGATGCGGCATGTTTGACACATGTTTGACACATGTTTGACACATGTTTGACACATGTTTGACACATGTTTGACACATGTTTGACACATGTTTGACACATGTATCATGTTCGCTTGCTAACATTCAAAACATTTCACACATATATATATATATTATATCATATCATATAGTTTTCATATGGTTTCCTCAGTAGTTTCTGTTTTCTGTATGATCTGATGTTTTTCGATGCTTTTGCGCCTTCATGGCAGTCTTTGCCGCCATGGTCGCCGCTTGCTTTGTCTCGGCGTTGCCCCCCGCGCTTTGTCCCTCCGGTGCTGGTGCTGGTGGTTGCGGAGGGGGACCTGAGTTGCCGACCCATGTTTTCACACGTTCCACTTCCAACAGGATGAAAAAGGAAAGACCGTAAAAAACAGAATGAAAAATGGAAGTTTCAACGTGCATCCGCAGAAGTGATCAACCTCCTGCATGTGTATGGTACACTTTGTAGACATTCTGGCTGGGGTCCAAGCCCTGATGAGATTGGTCGGAGGCCTCAGGCTGGGCCAAATAGCTGCATTTCGAAACAAATTCATGACTGATTGACCTCCTCAGCAAAGTTCACTACAAACGAGTTTTAATGAAAAAGATCCTTTCCACATTGTCTACATGTGCTACAATGTGTGATGCGTCTGCTCTTCGGCGTCAAACACAACATCTCAGCAGCATGTCCATTGGTAGTTTGCTCCAAGTTGCAGCGGCTTGGTCATACGACTGCATTTCCTGCGATTGGTTCTGCTGGAGAATCAAATGTTCCATTTTCCATTGGCCAAAAAGAATCAACGGTTAACGATGGTGAAAATCAAAAGGGAGGATTTCATGTCACTTTCTTACCAGGGTCTGGCCGCTAGTCTCAATGTCAAAAAAAATGGTCGTTCCCTGTGGAAAACCCAATGTAATTTTGCAGTATCCTGTGAAACATCTCTGACTAAGCCTCACCACAGGCCTCAATGTCCTAACGTGTTCAGTTTCACATGTTCAGAATTGATCATGATCATGTTCTGACTTGGTGGTTTCCAAAAATGGGGGATCCCCAAAACCATTTGTTTCAATACTAAAATGGTCGGATGATTTGGGGGTACCCCCAATTTAGGAAACCTAATTTTCTGATATTTTTTGCCAGCGCAATGTTGTGCCATGTTGTGTGCCATGTTGACATGTTGTGCCTGATATTGTTGTTGCTGTTCTTGTTGCACTTGAGCTGCTGCCGCGCAGAGCCGGGTCTCGAATGACCAAACAAAGCCTAGCAACGGAAAACCAATGGAGAGGATGGAAATGGATGGAACGGGCTCAGCACATAGCAGCAAAATTAAACACTAAAACCTGAGAAGGGGTGGAACGAAAGCCAGCGCTTGCTTTTTGACTCGCGGGGGCGCGTGAAACTCCACCTCATCCATATGGCATGGCTCAAACATGAAGCGCCCCAACATCAACAATTGCTATCGGGTCATAATTTTCCAATCATTAAATGGACCTTTTTAGGGTAAACTCCACGATTTTGTAACTTCTATATCCAAATATGTTTCCTACAATGTACTGCGGCATTGTGAAAAGTTCTATCTCAAGTTCCGTAAATCCGCCTTTGGTTGCTCATTTATCTTAAAACAGCGCAAGTTTGCTCCCACCTATTGTAGATAAATAATACCCGCTTTTTTGTGTGAACAGTGGTCATGTGACCTCTCAAAGTCTAAATTGTTTTCTCCCCAGAATCGTGGTCCATGCTTCTCCGCGAAGTTCCGCAACATTTTGGCCGTACGGTGAGAAATCAAAACATAGCTCTACTCGCAAAATGGGCAGTGCAAACCCAAGACAATATTATAACATACGTAAGAAAGGGTATAAGAACGAATGAAAATCGAGGAAAACAATGCAAAACCCACGGGAAATATAGAACAGTGGCGAACATGCAGTCCAAATCAAAAGTATATATATTTAGGCCATTTACAGACCTGGGTCCCCCCCCACCCCCCAAGGGTCTGGAAAATAGGTATTTTACAGGAAATTCGCGGAATAGCATCATCCCTGACATCGATAGAGATAATTGTTTCGCATCCCGGAAAATCTTCTCAGCTATCACACTCGCCAAACATCCCTTTTAAAAGGCACACATACTATCACGGACGTACAGATGCATATCATTCCCGTCATTGCCATTAGAAGATTCAAATTCTTTCTCGATGTTTTAGTACAAGATTCACTTTTAGTTCTATTTCAGCCTTCTCAGTACGGCCTCTTACAATGATATTACAGCATTTGTCTCCTAACCTAGGTGGCTCCTGGGCGCAATCTTCATTCCAATGCTTTGTGACAATAACCAGAGGCCTGGAGCCTATGCACCACTTGACAGTCGACTCAGTTCTAAACCGGAAAGACTATTCCTTCCGTTTACCAGTAGATCGTTTTTGTAGTTCTTATCACACAACTACCAGAATCAGGGAGGCACCAAAAAACGTCAAACAGCTTTAAGCATTATAAATACTCTAATCTGCAGATTGTATTTATTTTTCTTACTCTGTGAACGAAATCTCACTTTTCTAACTTCACACAGGTTACCATGAAACCAATTTTCCCATGCAACTCCTAAAATCTTACAACTCATACATCTTTTTTCCTATACCATCCGCATCTTGCTCCAAGGTTTCATGGCAATGTCTTGTACGCGAGTCAGCCAATATTTCATTATCACCAAACTACATTGCTCATCATCTAACATTATCTACAGAAACCAAATCGGATTTCCTGCTCAACGTTTCCGCTCGTTAACATTGTCTTGGTTTTCACTATATTTTTAAAGCATTTTTAGTTATAACATTTTCCTAGGTTTTCACTGTATTTTTCTAACATGTTACATGCCTCCTAGCATGTTCACGCGTGTCCTCCATGTTGTACTGTTTTCCTCATCGTTTCCTCTAGTTGTTACAAGCATTTCCTAGCTTGTACACCGTTTTCCTAATATTGTCACAACTTTTCTTCCAGTTTCCACTGTTTCTTCTACCGTTTCCTGTGGTTACGTTCTTCTCTTTTGTAGGTTTTCACTGTGTTTTGTCCAGCTTTTTTTATTACATGCTTCCTACCATTTTCACCGCTTTCCTCTATGGCTTTTTGTACCATTTCCTCTCGTTTCCTGCATTTCATGCATTTTCAATGTATTTTTCCAAGAGTTTTACCCGTCTCCTTCAGTTTCCGATCGTTTTTGCACCATTTCCTCTGGTTGTTATCGCATTTTCCTGCACTTTCACTGTATTTTTCCAGCATGTTTACTGCATCGTCATAGTTTGTTCCTAGCAGTCGCTCCGGTTTCCTCCATGTTCCAACAGATTTTGCACCCTTTATTCTGGTTGTTATCACATTTTCCTGCCAGGTTGTTATCACATTTTCCTTCACTGTATCTTTCCAGCATTTTCCAGTGGATTTTGCACGATTTCCTCTGATTGTTATCATGTTTTCCTGCAGTTTCTATATCCTCTTCGTGGGTTTTCAGTCTATTCATGCATTTTTAATCTATTTTTCCAAGATTTTTCCCCGTCTCCTTTTTGCACCATTTCCTCTGGTTTGCTGCATTTTCAATGTATTTTTCCAAGAGTTTTACCCGTCTCCTTCATTTTCCGATCGTTTTTGCACCATTTCCTCTGGTTGTTATCGCATTTTCCTGCACTTTCACTGTCTTTTTCCAACATGTTTACTGCATCGTCATAGTTTGTTCCTAGCAGTCACTCCGGTTTCCTCCATGTTCCAACAGATTTTGCATGGTTTGTTCCTAGCATTTTCCTCTGATCGTTATCATGGTTTCCTCAAGTTTCATTGTATTTTCCAATACATCCTCTTCGTGGGTTTTCAATATGTTTTGTCCAGCATTTTTTTACTACATGTTTCCTATCATTTTCATCTCTTTCCTCCATAGGTTTTTGCACCATTTCCTCTGGTTTCCTGCATTTTCATACCTTTTCAATATTAATATTAATCCAAGAGTTTTACCTGTCTCCTTCATTTTCCGATCCTTTTTGCACCATTTCCCCTCGTTGTTATCACATTTCCTGCGCTTTCACTGTATTTTTCCAGCATGTTTACTGCATCGTCATGGTTTGCGCCTAGCATTCGCTCCGTTTTCCTCCATTTTCCAAGGGATTTTCCATGGTTTGTTCCTAGCATTCGCTCCGTTTTCGTCCGTTTTCCAGGGGATTTTGCACGATTTCCTCTGATCGTTATCATGTTTTCCTGCAGTTTCATTGTATTTTCCAATACATCCTCATGGTCTCTCCGGTCACCAAAAAGGCGGACCTAGGGGGAATCGATACCCCACCGTCAGCAAATTACCTAGTGGTACATAATCCAGCAAAATGCTCCGTTTTCTGGCGCTCAACACAGGGGCACGGCGAGATTTCGTTCCCTTTCGGCAACCACCCCCCCCCCACACCCCCTATTCTCACTTCGTTCGCAAACAGCAACTAGCCAGCTAGCTGGCTTTCGTAATTTAAATAGAACTAGCATGAAATAGCATAAATGAACAGTACAGTACATTTCGTTCGCGCCTGGCAAAGGCAAAATGAACGAAGCACCGAACAAAACCACATCAAAAAGGCCGTGTCAAAACCAGTTCCACAGCCTTTTTTGCAACAGCAATGCTTTGCGGACGAATACTGCGCGACACACTTGTGGGAGTTCTTCGTGCTGCAGCCACCTGGGCAAACGCTGAATCCAAGGTCAAAACAAGCGCTGAGAGGGGCTGCATTCGCATTAGCAGTGAGAACTTCCAAGGATCGTCAACGAAACTTTGGGGTTGCTGAGGATCAATAGACAAGCATCCGTGAGAATCTGATTTGTTTCTACCGCAAATCACAACTTACAACACGTTTTTCCTCAAGACCGTGCAAACCTCTTTCCTTTGAGCCTTTGAGCCAAAAACCAACTGGCAAGAAACGATCTTCTTTCAGCAATACTTATGAAGCCGATGGGAAGATACGAAGATACTTAAAATATTGGGCCTTCCAGCAGCCGGGACCGCGTAGGACCGCTTTTGCATCATTGGTTTATTTAGATTGACCCTCAAGGTTGTACACCTGCAACATCCCAATTTTGGTCGCCAAAGTACCAAACAGGCCAGGTTTGTCAATGGAGGGTGGAATCAGGTAAGCTCCTGAGGCAACAAAAAACATGATTTCTGCAGAGGAATTCAATGTGGGCAGGCCATGTCATTCCCTCCGTGTGTTGTGCAACTGTTTTCTCCACAAGCTGACACAGGAAACAGGATGCACTGCAACCCCCGAAAGCTACACACTTCAAAATCTGTCGTTGTTGCTGCTGTTGTTGGATCATTTACAAAAGCGTGTGACCCACAAGAGACCCGATCCAATCAAGTCTTCCCTTCCTGGAAAAGATTGTTTTCATGTCTACACGAATCTGCACGAAGTTGCCAAGCATCCATTGGTTTTCTCCCAGTCCAAAACAATCTGCGCTACCGTGGTTGGAGGCTTTTGGTCCTTGGAAGAACTCCATGAAGCACTTTGATCGCTTTGCACTGAAACAACAAGGCATTGCTTCCAAGTTTAGAATGCCCAGGCTTGGAATGGGAAGATACTTTTCGGGGCTCAGCAAATCTCCATTGCTTGGGCTTACATCATCTTACATATCTTACATCTGCTTACCTTCGCCAAAACCAAAGGCACCTCTTTTTCATTGTGAGCCAAAACAGGCTTCGCTGAGGGCGAGGAACGTAATTCTCGCAGCGGCCACACTTATCTTTGTCCAACTCGTAGGAGCAAGAACGGTGGCAGCACCATTTCGATTGCTCTTTCACGCACCTGCAGTGTATAGCAGTGATCTGGTATGAGATGTATGAGATCATGCCATCGAGTGCCAATGGAGCTGCGGGAGCTTACAATGCCCAAGCAGCTGCTAATGCTGATAAATGCCATGGATAGATTGAAGGAAGCAAATATAAGCAAATACTTTCAAAATCTTTCAAACACCTTACATGAGTTTGATTCCCTTATGCTCGCTGATGTTCCTGCATCTTCACAGTCACTCACAGTCAAACAGATTGTTATTTGGATTGAGACATATTGAGACTGCATGTCTATGAGTCGATAAGCTCTCAACTTGTCCGCAGAGCCCTTCTTCTTCATTCGGCCCCACAGCTGGCTTCCAGGAATGGCTTCCTGGCAACTTCCATTCCAACAAGACCCAGAGTTGAGCAGAAACCTGCTTCGGAAATCTTGGAACAATGGCCGGTGTTAAATGCCATCCACTACTTTCGTACACTTAGTGCAGCGGAACAGCAGCTCAGCCACACATGGAGTGTAGCAAGCGTTCCTCTTTGTTCGCTGGATCCTCACTGTCTTCAACGCATTCGCGTGTCTGGAAATCAAAGTTGTAGCCTGCATGGAAGCGAAGCCAGCTATCCGCTATCCAAACATGATGAAGGGGCAAGCAGCTGATTTGTTTGTAATTATCCGCCGACCCCGGCCGATGGCAAGGGGGAGCGCGTCAGGGCAGATAGGTTGTGGACAACAAGAAATACAACAACGGTTCTTCGGAAGCTTTCCAAAGTAGCCGAACAGCAACAGCAGCAAGGAGCAACAGCAGCAAGTATAAACAGCATTGGAGAAGTGCTTGGTGACGCCAGGTGTTTCGCATGCGTTCGCCAAAGCAAGTTTAGCAGCAGCAGCAGCAGTAAGAGTACCGCAGCAGCAAGTCCAGCAGCAGCAGCAGTAAGAGCAGCGGCAGCAGCTAGCAGCCAGCTAGGAGCAGCCAGCAGATCTTAAAAAGATGGAAAAAATGATATTTTTGTCGCCAAAGCAAGTTTAGCACCAGCAGCAGCAGCGGCAGCGGCAGCGGCAGCGGCAGTGGTAGTAGCAGCGGCAGCAGCAAGTCTAGCAGCAGCAGCATTACGAGCAGCGGCACTGTAGCAGCAGCAGAGCAGCGGCAGTGGCAGTAGCAGCGGCAGCAGCAAGCCCAGAGCAGCTGAACAGCAACAGCAGCAAGGAGCAACAGCAGCAAGTATAAACAGTATTGGAGAAGTGCTTGGTGACACCATGTGTTTCGCATGCGTTCGCCAAAGCAAGTTTAGCAGCAGCAGCAGTAAGAGCAGCGGCAGTGGCAGCAGCAGCCGTTGCAGCAAGTCTAGCAGCAGCAGCAGCAGCAGTAAGAGCAGCGGCAGTTTAGCAGCAGCAGAGCAGCGGCAGAGCAGCGGCAGTCCAGCAGCAGCAGCAGTAAGAACAGCGGCAGCAGCAAGTCCACAGCGAGCTAGCAGCAACCAGCAGCCCTTAAAAAGGTGGAAAAAAAAAGAATATTTTGATAGGACTAAATTGAAAAAAATGAAAAATTTCAATTTTACTAGGGATTCAGAAGTGGCGTTAAGCCTTTTTTGGCGTTTCCTTTGCTACGTTTTGGGTACGAAATTAGGTGGTGTTTAGCCGTTGCGAATGCGCCACAAAGTCATGCAACGGCAGTAGCAGTGGCAGCAGCAGAGTCCACAGCCAGCTAGCAGCAACCAGCAGCCTTTAACAAGATGGAACAAAGAATATGTTGTAGGACGAACCTGAAAAAAACTGAAAAGTTTCACTTTTGCTAGGGATTCAGAAGTGGCGTTAGGCCTTTTTTGGGGTTTCCTTTGCTATGTTTTGGGGTACGAAATTAGGTGGTGTTTTGCCGTTGCGCATGCGCCGCAAAAGCCATGCAACGGCAGTAGCAGCGGCAGCAGCAAGTCCACAGCCAGCTAGCAGCAACCAGCAGCCCTTAAAAAGGTGGAAAAAATAATGTTTTTGTAGGACCAAACTAAAAAAAATTGAAAAGTGTCAATTTTACTAGGGATTCAGAAGTGACGTTAGGCCTTTTTTGGGGGTCCCTTTTTGCTACGTTTTGGATACGAAATTAGGTGGTGCTTTGCCGTTGCCAATGCGCCACAAAGTCATGCTACTGCCGTTGCATGGCAGCAGCAAGTCTACAGCCAGCCAGCAGCAACCAGCAGCCTTTAAAAAAGCGGAAAAAAGAATATTTTTGTAGGACCAAACTGAAAAAATTGAAAAGCCTCACTCAATTTTACCAGGGATTCAGAAGTGATGTTAGGCTTTTTTTTGGGCACGAAATTAGGTGATGTTTTGCCGTTGCGCATGCGCTACAAAAGCCATGCAACGGCAGTAGCAGCGGCAGCAGCAAGTCCACAGCCAGCTAGCAGCAACCAGCAGCCCTTAAAAAGGTGGAAAAAAGAATATTTTTGTAGGACAAACTGAAAAAAACTGAAAAGTTTCACTTTTACTAGGGATTCAGAAGAGACGTTAGGCTCTTTTTGGGGTCTCCTTTGCTACGTTTTGGGTACAAATTAGGTGATGTTTTGCCGTTGCGCATGCGCTACAAAGCCATGCACTTTGTGCAGAGATAGAGGCAGCAGCCAGCTAGCAGCACAGCCAGCAACTTTTACAAAGGTGAAAAGGTGAAAAACATGATATTTTTGTAGGATTTCAACAGGGACGTTCCGGCCCAGGGAAGCATATTTTGGACTCGGTTCGTCCTTCAGGGCCATGGTGTTTTGCTGCCGGCAAGTGTTTCGCATGCGTTCGTCAAAGCAAGTTTAGCAGCGGCAGCAGCAGCAGTAAGAGCAGTGGCAGTGGCAGTAGCAGCGGCGGCAGCAAGTCCAGCAGCAGCAGTAGCAGTCAGAGCCGCAGCAGCAGCTAGCAGCCAGCTAGCAGCAACCAGCAGCTCTTAAAAAGGTGGAAAGAATCTTTTTGTAGGACCATATTGAAAAAAACTAAAAAGTTTCACTCAATTTTACTAGGGATTCAGAAGTGACGTTAAGCCTTTTTTGGGGTCCCTTTGCTACATTTTGGGTACGAAATTAGGTGGTGCTTTGCCGTTGCGCATGCGCTCCAAAGTCATGCAACGGCAGTAGCAGCGGCAGCAGCAAGTCTACAGCCAGCTAGCAGCAACCAGCAGCCCTTAAAAAGATGGAACAAAGAATATGTTGTAGGACCAAACTGAAAAAGTTTCACTTTTACTAGGGATTCAGAAGTGAGGTTAGGCCTTTTTTGGTCTTTCCTTTGCTACGTTTTGGATACGAAATTAGGTGGTGTTTTGCCGTTGCGCATGCGCCACAAAGCCAGGCAACGGCAGTAGCAGCGGCAGCAGCAAGTCCACAGCCAGCTAGCAGCAACCAGCAGCCCTTAAAAAGGTGGAACAAAAAATATTTTTGTAGGACAAACTGAAAAAAACTGAAAAGTCAAGTCTGAATTTTACTACGGATTCAGAAGTTCAGAAGTGACGTTAAGTCTTTTTTGGAGGTTCCTTTCCTACGTTTTGAGTACGAAATTAGGTGGTGCTTTACCGTTGCGCATGCGCTACATAGCCATGCACTTTGTGCAGAGATTGAGGCAGCAGCCAGCTAGCAGCAGCCAGCAACTTTTACAAAGGTGAAAAGGTGAAAAACATGATATTTTTGTAGGATTTCAACAGGGACGTTCCGGCCCAGGGAAGCATATTTTGGACTCGGTTCGTCCTTCAGGGCCATGGTGTTTTGCTGCCGGCAAGTGTTTCGCATGCGTTCGCCAAAGCAAGCTTAGCAGCAGCAGCAGCAGCAGTAAGTGGCAGTAGCAGCGGCGGCAGCAAGTCCAGCAGCAGCAGTAGCAGTCAGAGCCGCGGCAGCAGCTAGCAGCCAGCTAGCAGCAACCAGCAGCTCTTAAAACGGTGGAAAAAAGAATATTTTTGTAGGACCAAACGGAAAAAAACTGAAAAGTCCCAATTTTACTAGGGATTCAGAAGTGACGTTAGGCCTTTTTTGGGGGTTCCTTTTTGCTACGTTTTGGATACGAAATTAGGTGGTGCTTTGCCGTTGCGCATGCGCCACAAAGCCATGCACTTTGTGCTGAAATCAAGAGATGGAGAAGATTTAGATTTAGAACCCAGAAGAGACTTGAGGCCCTTTTTTGGTGTTCCTTTGCTACGTTTTGGGCACGAAATTAGGTGGTGTTTTGCTGTTGCGCATGCGCCACAAGCCATGCACTTTGTGCTTAGCAAGCTTGTTGGCCGCAAGATGAGGCAAATATGCGTAACAAGTTTTAGTAGGGTTCCAGAAGGGGCGTTAGGCCCTTTTTTGGGGTTCCTTTGCTACGTTTTTTTCGGCAGGAAATGAGGGGGTGTAGAAACAGAACGAGAACGAGAACAACAACGACAAGAACAAGAACAAGAACCAGCACACAAGCAAGAACAAGAAGGACAAGAACCAGAAGAATAACCACTTAGTCTGCGCCCGTGCTTTCCCATTGATGTGTTTTACAATATCGTCCTGTAGCAGTCTTATATGCTTCACTCGAATCCGTCCCTGCGATTTTGTTGACTCGACTTTTGTGCCGCAGGTGGGGCAAGTATGCGCATTGCGCTTGCATACTGCCCCATTTGCTACTCGAAATTGACGGCCACAGTGCCCCTGCGTTCGGACGTTTCCTGTGAACACTGTGGATTTGGTAGCTTTGCCACACGCAGGACACACATAGGTTCGTAGACTAGCGCGGCGAGCTTCTTAATGTTCTTTCCTTTTCTCGGTTGCTGGTCTTCGCTTCGCGGCTGGATGACTGGAGTTTTCGCAGCAGCAACGGTTTTTTGATCCTGGGTAACTGCAAGAGCAGAAGATGGCTGGGGATTGGATGATTTTGGTTCATTCTCCATTGGACGTGTGCGAGCCAACCGCTGTTGCGCAATAGCTTCCCAAGTCTCCTTAAGAACGCGCGTAGAGCGAATTCTCTTGCGCAGCGGCTCTACTTGTGCTGCACTCAACACAGCTACTGCACTCTTCACAAGTCTCCTTCCCGACATTTGAATCCGATTGTGTCCGCTACGGTGATTCAGCAGTGATTTTTTGAGTCGTTCCCATAATTAAGGTACCAAAGCCTTATAATAGATTTGGTGCCAATCACTTTAAAGGATCGGGCTTTTGTTTCAATGGATTTTGGTCAATGCAATGACTGCCACTGCTTTCGGCGACTGGATTCGAAAAAGGACCTCAGGCATCCCATCTAGTTGATCGTTATCGTCCATTCAACCCCCCTTTTCGTTGGTGAAACATGGATGTCTTTGAAAATGGAGGATATCACAAAAGCCATAGACAAAATGATGACCTGTGGATTTCTCCTCTGAGGTCGCTGGAAAACGCGCAGTCCGAAATCAACACTCTACACTCCACGCTCTACACACAACACTCCCCACTTTACACTCCACACTTTACACTCTACACTCCACACTTCACACTTCACCCTCCACACTCCAGACTCCACCCTCTACACTCCACACTTCACACTTTAACCTCCACACTCGAGACTCCACCCTCTACACTTTACACTCCACACTTTACACTTCACACTCCACACTCGGCACTTTACACTCCACACTCCACACTGTACACTCTACACTTTACACTCCACACTTTACACATTACACGCCACACTTTACACTTTACACTCCACACTCCCGACTCCACCCTCTACACTTAATACTCCACACTTTGCACTCCACACTCCACACATTAACCTCCACACACTACACTCCACACTTCACACTTCACACTCTACACTCCACGCTTTACACTGCGCACTTTCCATTCCACGCTTTACACTCTACACTTTACACTCTACACTTTGCACTTCACACACACTCTTGTGTAGCTAATTATGATACTCTTGGGTAGGATGAAAAATCGATTGGGGTTGACAAATGTTATTCTTATTTAAAAGCCCCCCCCCCATACACAACCGATTGGGGTTGACAAATGTTATTCTTATTTAAAAGCCCCCCCCCCATACACAAGCCCCGCACCAAAAAAAAATCAACCCCTGTTCGGAGGAGACTAGCTACTGTTTGCTAAGTACACGACCAGCCCTTGTTCAGGGCTCTCCTTGTTAAGGAGACGACTCCGGCTTCCCAGAATGCCCGGGGTCGGCGGCAGGGGCGGCAGCCCTTATAAGAAAAGGAACCACTGACAACGTCATCCGACCAAGACACATTGAAAACAACATGGTACTGTCTCGGCTCTAGATACTGTTGAAAGCTGCGGAACTTGGCCTAAGTTGCAGCAGCAAACCTTCTTGCGCTCCTGTCGCCAAAGACGCTCAAAAGAAATGTTGCAAAGAGCTCTCAATTATTCCATCCTAAACACAGAAAAAAGAAACCTGGTGCTGCCAGTGCGTCAGAGAATTTGTTCTGAGATGGAAAGCTGCTTGAAGCCGCGTCCTGGTCATAGCAAAGCACCGAATTTTTCTTGGTGCATCCTCTGATGCCCCAACCGTAGCTGTCCGCACCGGTAGGAATGCGAAACTTGCCTTGCTGGCGTTCACCCACAGCTAGTAAATTTCGTGAAGTCCTGTTTATTTGCCCAATATGCGTTTATGGTCCAATTCTGTTAGCGGGGGGGGTCAATATGCGTTTAAGGTGTATCAAAAAAAAAATCGTGCGCCATGAACGCATATTGGGGAATCTAACCACTCATGTCAGGAAAACCCATTTACCAACATTTACCATGAATGCAGGGAACCATCGAAAAAAAATAGTACATGTTGCGAGGTCCATTTTTTGTGTAATATGTGTGTTTAATGTATTTTGGGTGGCAGGGACCTTAATTTCCCTTTTCAGTGTGAAATAAGATTTTGGCGGATTTCTGCCAGCTATACCAATCAACCATGTGATTTACTGGGTTTGAGGAAAAATACCATCGGATTGTGTGAGGATATCATCCGAATTCTCTCAGGATATCCACATATAACCTATATCAAGAGAAAGTTCTTGTGGCAGTCAGAATATCCTGAACGTACATCAAGACAGTTTCCAAGATTTTTTGGATGTACATGATAAAACTGTTTAAAGGAAAATGAACAACATGGCAACATGTTCAAAGGATAAAATGGGGCATTTTGGAGGATGTCACTTTTGGAATCTGATGGAAATAATTAGATTTCGTTTTTGCGGATACCATCACAGTTTCCGAAGGATAAAACAATCTCTGAGGATCAGAATTTTCTGAGAAATAATTCTCTGACGGTATCATCATAAAGCATCTAGTATGTTCTAGGATTCTAGGATATCAGCAGACCTCTGGGGGATACATTCAGAAATTTCTGAGGGTCATCAGATTTATCTGAGGATATCATGTACCATTTCCGAGAATATCCGGATTTACAGATGATCATCAGAACGTTTGAAGGATATCATGAGGAGTTTATCAGGATATCATTTTCGCGACATGCATCAGGTAATTTTGAGCACGGAAAAAGAGGCAAACACAACAAGTCAAACAGCGCGTGCTGTATGTATACAAAATAACGGCATGCTTTGTGTTTGTTTCTCCTTTGAGAATCAGATTTGCCAAGGTTCATCATTCTGACAATCTCTGGATATATCTGGTGATTGAATATCAAATACATTTGATGATTATCATCATGCTTTGGTCTATTTTAAAAAATAAATATAGCTTTGATGGTCAGGGAAAAACAACAAAACAAGTAAAACACACTGCGTGTTGTCTGTGTACACAATAGGGCCGTGCTTCGTGCTTGACTTTGCTCTTGGAGATTTTTTTTTTGCAACGATCGTCGTGCTGACGAACACCGGATATATCCAATGATTATTGGAATTGTCATTAACCGAAATTTCTGGTGATTGTCAAAAAAAATCTAAAGAATCCTCAGAATTTTCTGAGGATCGTCATCCTCAGAAATTTCTGAGGACCCTCAGAATTTTCTGAGGATCGTCATGATCGTCATCCTCAGAATTTTCTGAAGATCCTTATGCTGAGAATTTTCTGAGGGTCCTCATCCTCAGAATTTTCTGAGGATCGTCATCCTCAGAATTTTCTGAGGATCCTCATCCTCAGAATTTTCTGAGGATCGTCATCCTCAGAATTTTCTGAGGATCCTCAGAATTTTCTGAGGATCGTCATCCTCAGAATTTTCTGCGGATCCACAGAATTTTCTGAGGATCGTCATCCTCAGAATTTTCTGAGGATCCTCAGAATTTTCCGAGGATCGTCATCCTCAGAATTTTCTGAGGATCCTCAGAATTTTCTGAGGATCGTCATCCTCAGAATTTTCCGAGGATCCTCAGAATTTTCGCTCAATAAGCGTTTTTTGAAAATAAGCGTTTCCACAGAATTTTCATGAAAATGTACCAAAAAAACGCTTATTTTCAAACAAAAAAACGCTTATCGAGTGAAAATTCTGAGGATCCTCAGAAAATTCTGAGGATGACGATCCTCAAAATTCTGAGGATCCTCAGAAAATTCTGCGGATCCTCAGAAAATTCTGGGGATGACGATCTTCAGAAAATTCTGAGGATGACGATCCTCAGAAAATTCTGAGGATCCTCGGAAAATTCTGAGGATGACGATCCTCGGAAAATTCTGAAGATCCTCAGTAGATTCTGAGGATGACGATCCTCAGAAAATTCTGAGGATCCTCAGAAAATTCTGAGGATGACGATCCTCAGAAAATTCTGAGGATGAGGACCCTCAGAAAATTCTCAGCATAAGGATCTTCAGAAAATTCTGAGGATGACGATCATGACGATCCTCAGAAAATTCTGAGGTTCCTCAGAAAATTCTGAGGATGAGGATCCTCAGAAAATTCTGAGGATCTTCAAAGAGTCTGAGGATGAGGATCCTCAAAAAAAGCTGATGATTCCTAAGGAAAATCTGAAGGCTCCTCCGAAAATTTCGAGGGTTCCTCAGTAAATTTGGAGGAATCTCCAGAATTGTTTGTTTGGTAACCATCAAAAAGTTCTGATATATATATATATATATATATGAAATTATGCTAATCAAGGATCAGTTTTTGTTGCAACACATCAGCTACAAAGTCCGAGGATATTTTGTAGCTGATATTTTCAGCGCAAATTGCGACTGTTTTCTGCGGATATCACCAGCATCTCATCATAACCTTTCTAAGGATATCATCGGAATTATCATCAGAAGTTTGTGAGGACTATCGGACCTGTCTAAGGATATCATCAGAATGGACTCATCAAAATTTCAGCAGAAATTTAGCACGTTACCAGCCATAAACTCTGGGGATATCATCAGGATTTTCTGATACCAGCCCAGAGGATCAGCATATAGTTTCTCATCAGGATGTCACATGATATCATATCACCAAAGTTTTCGGAGGATAACATCAGAATTTTACTATAGGGACCGTTTTTTTCAAAATTTGAGAGCGGCAACGCTTCAAACCGTTTGGCTTTGAAAGATTGGGGCGGTTGTCCTCAGACTTGTTTGTTCGTTATTGGTGCCCGCATGCCAACATGAATATGTTGTTTCTTCATGAAGCGTTTGTTCGTTTGACTTTCCGGGATAATGATAATAACATTTAGTTGTGAGAATGCTGCTCAGGATCATCCAGCGGATAAGATGCTCAGGATCATCCAGCCGAGAAGCATGCTATAATGAGATTCCATTGCAACAAAAATAAAACTTAAATGACTATATCAACGCAGATTGGCATATAGGAAAGTGAATATTTTTGTGGTTCCGTCACTTCCAAACAGGCGATATGCAAATTTACAGTCTAATTTGTCAAAAAGGAAAACAGCAAATGTTGTTTTTCACTCTCCAAGCACTCAAAACGCATATAGCGCAATCATTATCAGAAAATTGAATAAACCTTAAGCTCAGGAATGGCAAGATCTGACAATGTTTGCGGGTTGAATGTCCGGGCAAGGTCCTGCACATACCACCGGGAAAACCACTTGCTCAATATGCGTTTTCAACTTAGAATCATCGAAAATTAAGCGCGAAAACCTTCCATTTTGAGCTTTCATGTAGTCAAAACGCTTATTGAGGGTCCACCCTCAGAATATTCGCTAAAATTAGGGTTCACGAAATTCCTTACCCACAGCACTATGAAATCTGAACGCAAATGCTCTGCTGAAAAAGCTCAAGAACGGATTGGAACGGATTGCTGCAAAGGATCTGTTCTGCTTGTTCTGATAATCATCAACCTCCTGTGCAGGAGATATCTGAGTCACCTTGGGTCAACTCATAGCTTTGCTCGCTATGCCGCTATGCTTGCTCAGGCAGTTCAAGTATCCGATCCGCTTCAACCCTGCTTTTCATCTGTCCAAATTACGAATGCATCGAATCAAACAAGTGTAAACCAAGGAAAATGCTCTTCAATGTAAGTCATCGATCGTCAAGAGTTTCTTTCACTCGACACTCTGCATACAATATGACATAGCGCAACCAAGTGGCATTGTGCCCTTCACATTCATCACACGTGTCCTGCGAACGGAAACCAGAAGAGGACGAGAAGTGTCAGAATTTAAATGACACAATGAACCTGTCAGAACATCCGTCTCACAACAATCCGTCAGGTGCTGATCTGTTCCTGCTCCACGATGTATTTGCAGCCACGGGTGCAGGAAAACGTCTTTCCCTCACACGTCTTGCTGTTTTTCTTGGCTTTTCGCCACCTGAGTCAGTGAGTCCCCCAACATCATGTCATGAACACCTCATTTTGAGCAATGGTGTGGATGGCTTCCTGACATGGCTTCAGATGGCGATGTCGCAGGAATTTTGAGACAAACATCGTCCAAGCGTCGTCTGAGAGCCTGGAATCGGATCACATTTCTCCTGTCGAGAAATGTAAGCGCCCACAGCTCTCCAGTGGCATTGCATTTGACAAATGAAATGGCGAATTCTGTTGGATTTCAGCTGTTTTCTTTTAGCAGGCAACATTAGGTCACAGGTAGCCAGCAGCAATAATGACCTTGATTCAAATTTAGTGATTGATAGAAGTAACTTGAAATATTTCACATGTTTTTATAGACTGTCAAATGTTGAATATCTTGAAGTGTGCGAAGTAAGTCTTGTATGTCTTGAATCGCACGACGAGAAGCTGGCGCAGGTGGCGGTGGAGCCGGAGCTGGTTCAGCCGGCGCAGTCGTAGAAGCTGTGGCAGTTGTGGCTTCAGCCGGATGCAGAGCTGCTACAGGAGACTCTTGTGCAGGAGGCGCAGGAGGCGCGGGAGGCGCAGGAGGCGCGGGAGTGGAAGAGGTGCCAGTTGGTGGGTCAGGCTCAGGTCTCAGCTTAGCCTCAGTGCTGAAACCTTCGAGAAAAGGAAAACTATGGAAAACTATGGAAAAGCGTCCAACATGTTAAAACATGTCAAAACATGTTAAAACGCTTCGAGGAATTGGTAGGATACATTTCCATACCATCCATACCCAAAATCAGGAAATCTGCTTCAGGGACCTCACGGAATCAACTCGCCCAGCCCAAACTTTGAGGCTCAAGCTGATGCTAAGAGAACCTCACGACTCTCCGGACCTCGTATCGAATCGTTACGGCAAGTGGGCTATAGCGGGCCAGAACTGGATTCGTCATCGGTGTCAAAAATCTCCGGCGATTTTACTCAGCTCTTCGCGGGCAGAGAAAGCCCCTAATGCCGAAAGCCTCAGATCAGCGAAACACGTCTGCAGAGGATGTCTTCGTCTCCATATCTCCCAAGATACAAAATGCTACAGAATGCCAAGTGTCAAATGGCAAGATGCATGGCAAATGCATGGCAAGGCAAGTGACAAGTGACAAGACTCAGTCGCAATGCGTGACAGTTGAGACTTTTAGAACCAATCCACTGACCTTTCGATGGAACGGTCGTGTCGTGGGCATTCCAAAATTTCCAAAATGTAGCGTCCAAGAACAAATCTGACCAGCTGGGCCGAGCAGCAAGCACACGGATGTATACGTCCTCCACCGCATGTTTGTCCTCAATATGATATAATATGATATGACTTGACTCTTCAGGACACACACATCGTCACTTCACTTCCCCGGATTCTCATGGTTTCTCCAATTTCTGCTTTGTCAGTTCCAGTACGCTCTTTGTGCTTCAAACATCTTCAAACCTGACCGAAAATCATGATCTCGCAAGATCTCGCAATGTCTCGCATGTTGCTAGCTATTGCCAGCTTCTGATTTCTGCATCTGCTGTGTAGAGGTTTGCCTCATTTTGCCTCATCCCGTTTCACCGTTTCACTTATTGCTTTCAACGCTTTCCTGTCGCAGAAGACTTGCGTGATCCAAAGTTTTCAAGGTTCAATATGGTTCAATCATGTGCTAAAGCCTGGAATTTCGTATTTGTATTTTCTGATTAATAATCGTTCTTTGTTGAAATTGCTGAGTCCTGGTATGTCTTGGCTATGCACCTGTATGACTCTTCAAGTGGGTCTGGAACAGTCCCTTCGAAACAAGGGATCCTTCCTGTTTTGACCACAGCTATTGTAAACCAAGCATCTATGGATAATGAGATTGGCAGTCTGCTGCAGCGACATGGCCCATTTTGCTTGAGCCGAATCTTTAAGGCACAACGTGGTACAACATTCTTTAGCATTGAAAGATGACATTTCGTCACCACAACTTCACAACCGCCCAAAATCTGCCGGTGCTCCAAGCGCTGGCATGCGCATGTGAAAAGTGTAGAGTCTTGTTTGAGTTTAAGTCTTGTTCACATGGATCTCAACATAATGTCAGCATATCTCACTAAGGCAGATATTTTAGGAAGTTCCAGTTGTAGTTCCATTGACAATTTCAGTGCCGAGAGTAAGGTGTTTCTTCACCAGGGCTGAGTATCCGCACCGAGCACCGAAGCTCGCCTGCAGCCAAGGCCTTGCAAAAGCCCTTTGTCACACTGTCTTGATGTCATGGTATGTCTCAAAATGTTCATCGTTGTTCATCGTTTTCCCCCAATGCGATTCTTATGTCTTGTCAATTTTGAAATACTGAAATCCATTGAAATCCCCGCATTTCAAGTGTGTTGGTCAGCCCTCGCAACCACGGGTTCCGTTCTGCCTTCGCGAAAGCCCAGGTGAAGGTCCCTTGAACGGTCCTGCATCGTGCCCTCGCATGGTGCCCCTGCTTGGTTAAGCTGCAAAAAATGCGAGCAGTGCCATGCCAAGAAACGACTTTTTGTGTCACACATTGTCACACTGTGTTTGTTCATATTGGTTCATATCGATTCATGGTTCGTTTGCATCCTATTCTCGTTCTTTCATCCCACCATATCCCACTTTGGGGGATAGGGAAAAAATGGAACAAATGCTGCAAACGGATACCACGGATAGCTGTCCCTTCCAATGGCAACTCCGAAGGCCACCTTGGCTGCTGAAGGCAGGTTCCTTTGCCCAAGGGATCCAATCTTGCCGTCCAGTCAAATTTGGTTCGCCACCAAAACTATTTGATTTTGCCAGGTTTTACGGGTCCAATGCTCACTTAGGACGACTTTTTCGCTCACTTAGGACGACATTTTTTATGTTGACTTCAGGGTTAGCACCATGGGGTACACACCTTTAGGTTAACACTTGGGGACACTTGGGGTGGGTTTAGGGGACACTTGGGGACACTTGGGGACACTTGGGGACACTTGGGGACACTTAGGGACACTTGGGGACACTTGAGGGTGGGTTTAGGGGACACTTGGGGACACTTGGGGACACTTGGAGACACTTGGGGTGGGACATGGGGTTTGGGGAACCAACTCCATGGGATACAGACCTTTAGGTCAACACTTGGGACACTTGGGGTGGGTTTAGGGGACACTTGGGGTGGGTTTAGGGGCACTTCAAGAACACGGGGCTGGAACATGGGGGGGATTAGGGGGCACTTGGGGATGTTTGGGCTGGGACATGCTGTGTAGGGGACCAAAAGGGGACCTGTTTATACTTAAGCAAATAATCCATCAGACAAATTCCCGCTAATTCTTGGGTAATATCTGCTCATTTTATGTATTCAAACCATCAACCTTCTTCTAGTGACTTGCAACACGTTCCTGATACGTTGTGAAATCTTCTACAAGTAACTTGCAAGACGTTCCTGGCACGTTGTCACATCTTCTTCAAGTAACTTGAATGATGGTCCTTATATGTTGTAGCATCTTCGTCAAGTAACATGCAAGACGTTCCTGCTACGTGCAACATCTTCCTACTTGTAAGTAACTTGCAGGACCTTCCTGATACGTCGTAAACTTTTCTTCAAGTAACTTGCCAGATGTTCCTGATACGTTGTAACATCTTCTTCAAGTGACTTGCAACACGTGAAATCTTCTGCAAGTAACTTGCAAGACGTTCATGGCACGTTGTCACAGCTTCTTCAAGAACCTTGAATGATGCTCCTGGTATGTTGTATCATCTTCGTCCAGTAACATGCAAGACGTTCCTAATACGTTGTATTATATTCCTCAAGTAACTTGCAAAATGTTCCCGATACGTTCTCAACTCTCCGTCAAGGCACTTGAAATACAGTCCTGATACATGGTAACATCTTCTTATTCATATGAATGAATGAAAATGTCCTGATGATCATGTCTGTCACACATGTACAAGCCTGTTGAAGTCATGTTCAAATACATCTATATATGTTTCTATGGATACTGTAATCATATATCATAAACGTAGGCCTAAGCGAGCCAAAACGTAGGCCTAAGCGAGGGACTGACCGGTTTTACGCTAGCTTGTGACATTCCACATGCATGCAGCCTTGTCAGAGGTGGTTATTTTAGCAGGATTCTAAGCTCACCACTCTTGCAGCCTGCCGTGTGACAGCAAGACCATCCAAAAAGCGCTCATGTAGCTATTTGGTGATAATATGTTATGCTATTTGAATCTATTTGATACTTTGAGATCTTTGAGCTGCTTGGTTTCTGGTTCTAAGATTCTATCGGATGCTTTGAGAGTTGTCTCAAAGAACAAAGACACAAGCTGGGGCACGTATCACACGGTAACGAATGGCGGCCCTGACAGCTGTTCTCGTCACTCCGTCACAACCCCCCGTCACGAATCGTCTCCCAGCTTACACCGTGCCTGCCGGCGCAGAAGCAATGCAGCTTGCAGGCAGGGAAAGTCTGCGGCTTCCAAATCTGTGGCATCCTCCAGTCGAACCATCAAACCCTGACTCCTCATATCTCCTCAAACTCCTCTATGTCTTTCTGCTCTTTCTGCACCGTACATGTGTTCCAAATTCAAGATAATCGTCATCGTCAAAGTTGGACATCGGAATCGACTTGTGTTTACTTTTGCTGTGAGTTCAGCGACCAAGGCCGGGGCGTGTGCTGCACAGGTAGAGGCGGAAGCTCAAGAAACCTTCGCGAACCGAATAACCCAAAGTCACTTTTAAAGTCTTAAAGACTGCACGTCTCTATGTACGTCGGATAAGATGTTTGAATCTTTAATGGAAGCATATAGCAAGGTTGACCGCATAAAATCACAACAAAACCAGGCTCTGCTTTCTCTGCTTTCTCTGACGCTGCTTTGCACCTTGGCCGCGTGACGAAGTCCAACATCTTGTCGTAATCAACACCTTGGCATCGTGGAAACCAAGGCCACTCGACTCATTTGGCCCTCACAGATATCGAATGACACAGCTGGCATAAATTCATATAATGTACATATATATATACCTATCTATGTGTAGAATATAATACACATATATATATATGTTCATGTATAGAATATAGATATTTATATGTATATACATATATATATATAATGACATAGATATCTAGATAGAGAAATTGGATGGGCACAGTTGGACCGTCTCTGACAGGCCGGACGTCCTCGCTGCACCCGTTGGAACGTGGGTGGCAGGTTACAGCCCGGACTCACACCTGACAGGACCGACAGGACAGCCCTGACACGTTAGAAATATCTGGACCGTTAGAAAAAAAACAGACGTGGCAACGCCATCCGTGAGATGATGATCATGATTAAAAAAGCAAGTGTTCTAAGTGTTCCAGTGATTTCCTTGGTGTGTTTGTTCTCAAACAAGAATGAGTAAGTGAGTAAGTTGAGACAATTCACACTCAGAGCGGGTTTCTCAGTTTTTTGACGTCTTGGGTCTCTTTCAAAGGTGACAAAACAACTGCACGGCCCACAGACATCCACAGACACAAATTTGCACAGCCTGGTAGAGCTGGGTATGCGCAATCCAAGACGGTGGTCAAGGCTGCACAGGACAAAAGGATCACAGGCTCAACATCTCAAGTCGATCACATCACACTTTGACTTACTTCATATACATTACAATGACCCATCGAAATGATCGAAATCATGTCCAAGCCATTGTGTTTCTTCATTATTGACCAGTCGTTTTGGCATTGATGGAGTCACATCAAACCATAAGTTAAGTGCCCCACTTGCACCAGATGGAACCTGCGTAATGAAGCGGTTCAACCTTGGTCTTGCAACATGTTCAGCTTCAGTCCAGCTTCAGTGATATGATATCTGTGACACAAAAAGCTGGTGCAAGGTCAAGGACATATTCTGATATATCTTAGGATATCCTAAGAAGCCTAAGACGGATTCAAATTCGAACCTAACCCTGGAAGATCCTGGAAGCCCACGTTTCTGTGATTTCCACACCTTTTTTCGGTCAGTTCCATGATGTTCCATGTGTCTTTCATATCGATGTTCCATATTTTTCGATGATTTTGCCGGAAACCATCAGTCCATTGGTCCTGGGCCGCACACTCCAGCATTGAGATCAAGCGATACGCCGCGTTGGGCGGAGGCTTTGGCACGGTTTTGGGGACGCCAGGTGGCCTCAGTGGAGTTTGAAAGAAAATGAAACAAACTAGTTAGTTTATATTGTATTATATTATACTATATTATACTATATATATGTGGGTTTATATGTGGGTTTATATGTGGGTTTATATCTGGTTTATGTGCTTTGATGTGCTAATTTAGAATAATTTAGATACCTGCTGAAAAATTGTTGTCACTCATTGCAGCTTTCAAGGGATGCATCGAGCACGAACCTTTATGGCTCAAATACGGCTCAAGCTGCACTGGAAATTGAGCACCAGACGCAGGCGAAGTCACCTGGAATGTGGGAATTTCAACGCGCACATTGCTGAGAATGCCATCCCGGACAAATAAAGTGACATCAAGTCAACTAAACATAACTATAAACATAAGTAAACAGAACTAAACTATACGACATCGAGTCTCTCCTGAAGGCAACAAAGGCAAGGGGCCTGCGACCACCATTCTTTTGGAATATCTTCCGCATAGTCTGAGGGTACCAAAAAGGCCTCGTGGCAAAATGATCAGCTCTTCGGGCAGAAGTTTTCTTCGGTGAAGAGATCAAAAACATTCAAAAAGCCACTTCTCTTGGCAAAATCCTCTTCCCCTCTTCCCTTCATTCTTTTTGAAATTGGAGATCACTCAGATCACTGATAGGTCTTGACCGTGCCTCGTGCTCTTTTCCCGCTGGGTCCTGTCAGGCTCTGGCGGCTCTAGCATGAAGGGATCAGATGGATCAGTGGCAAACTGGAGGAACTCATGACCTCCGTTGACCTCCCTTGACCTGAGAAGTTTGGCGGCCTTGGGATGCTGTGTGCCGAAGCCACAAAAAACGAGGACCAGACCTGCAGCCGGGCTGTCTATCGAAACCAGCATTGCATGGTGATCTGTACTCTACCACAAACGAAACGTGCCAGGGCGGAATAGATTGAGGATGATTGAGGTACTGAGGTACTTGACCTTCGAAAATCGGTGTAAAACCCAGGTAGGATGCTTGTCTTCCCTATGTCGCTGCTATGCATCTGAAAGCGGGATCTGGCCTGGTATGGTAATCCTAGTATTTTTTTTCAAATAGTTAGCATATGTTAGCATATGTTAGCATGTCATGGCGAATCATTCAAGTCTTCATAGTCTTCATCCCACACCACGAAGTCGCGAAGTCCAGTTTCACCTATTGTTTCGTTTCTGATGAGTCGGACTGTCGCCAGGTTGAGCTCCTTCCATCAACCTAAGGCTTTCTGCACAGAGGGATGGTTTGTACCGTCCATTTCTGGCTAGACTGGGGATGGTTTATGCTTGTTTCATGTTATATATATATATTATATATATATATATACATTACATATCAATATATATATATATATTATATATAGTATATATGTTTTACATGGTTTCCACATGATGCGTGTGGGTGGATTGAATCCAAACCCACAGGATCTCCAGGAAGTGTCAGCGCTTTTTCAGAAAAAAAACACTGGCCGTCTTTGGGCTGTAATGCGCTGGGCCAGTTCGCTTTGAACAGCCTCAAATTGAGCTCAAACGGCCCTCAAAAAGGGACATCTGCACATTGCAAATCAGATCCAAAGAAATCATTAAGATCCATGTTGTGTTAAGAAATGCTGTGAATGTGTTGTGAATGTTGTGGGTAGAGTCGGGTAGAGCTGGGAATCTTCAGGTGACGTGGTCACAATTTCGACATTGGCTTCAGGATGGCCACTGATGGACCACTGTTCTTTGAAAACGTTGCAGGACGGCTTATCTCAGCGTCCCAGGAAAAGCTCCGTGATGGCAGACAAACCTGGCCCCATCGAATCATATCTTGGATTTGGTGAGTATGGTGCAATTCCTGTTTTTAATATGTTTATATAAATATCTTATCATGCTAGGCGGAAAGGGTGCAGGTTAGCCCTGTTAGGCTGGTCTTAGATGGGCCTCAATGCCTAGTCACAGAGTTGATCCAAGACTTTGAGGCTCGACGAGTTAAGTCATTGATAGTCAGTCCGTGGTTCTGTATACTCCCAAAATGTCTCCTCTGCAACCTGAAGGCGTTGCAGGAGCCCTGCCCTGATCCCGTGCCTTTATGGTACTGCTCTGGATTCCACGTTGAAGACTCTGCCAGGCCCGGGAGCATGGTGATCATCGGGTCTTGGCTACCTCAGCCACCATTTACAAACCCCCGTGGGATTTCCTCAAAACATATGGAAAAGTGAAGAAAATGCCTGATGAAAAGAATGAAAAGAATGAAAAGAATGAAAAGAATATGAAAGAATGGGGACCCAGTGACCCAGCGCTGCATCTTCCCTCTCCTGTGCCTGGCATGGCAAGGGCCGCCCCCACCGGTTCAACGACCAGGTTGGAAAAGTCTTCTGACTCGGTTTCCTGTGACATCCTGTCACCCAATACCAACAGCATAGCATATATAGCATGATAAAGCCAATACCAAAGGTTACCAAACCCTATTTGGAGGTATGGTTTTTGAATTTACCCAAGATGGCGACGTCGGGTATGGATGGGTATGGTTTTTATATGTGTTTATCAATGTTTATCAGGTCAATCATTGAGTTTACCATGTTTACCTCACGAGACCGTTCAAGTTGTCTCCGCCGTCTCACCTGGAACTTCTGCGCCAGTTCTTCATCCGACAGGCCTGCATCAGGGCTTGGAAGGCCTGACACGAATCCGGCAGTCCGAATTGGATGCGAAGTGGGGACATGGACGGACATGGATGGACATCGTGGTGTGGTTCATCGGTCCAGGCTCTAAAAAAATATCTCTACTCGTGATTGCAAAGATTTTTTTGTTGCTACACAAGCACTCGTTCTTCATCCATCCCAAGTTGTAAAACACCACGACGATTTGAACGAACAAGAAAAGAGCAAATTTTCGGAAAAGATTTCATGCAGTATGAATCCCAGACTCAATTCACAAAGTGTCACATTGACTCACCAGCTGTGCATTCTCAGCTGTGCCCCAGATCCCAGATTTCCAGCCTAATTCTTCACAAAGCAAGTTATGTCGATGAGTCCGGAGGAAGCGTCGAATCCCTTCAGCACCCAGATTGCCAGCACCAAATCCTTCTCCATCGGTGGTATGAATCTGTGGATCTGTGTAGAAGGTTCCAACCCCTTGGATATCACACACCACCAGCATTTTTTGCGACAAGATATAGGTGAAATAAGAGAAGGCCGCCGCAGTTTCGTTGTCCGTTTCTCGATGTCCAGCATTGTCGCTGTGTTTCACGTAGTCCCCCGACAGGAATGGCTCCAGGCAAAGCGGCTCGGCGTAACCTGGTCTGTGAAACATCTCGCGAAACAATTCGGTTTTGATGAAGGGTTTCGATTCGGTTTCAATTCAGTCTCAACGGGTTTGGCCTTAACGTTAATGCCTTTTGAGGGAAAATAATTAAAATCAATAAAGGTATATCAAAATGAATGAAATTGGACTCAAAAGATTCTAAATATTTCAAAGTATTGATGACTCAAGTCTCTTTGCAGCATTGAAAGTCGCTGGAATTCTTACAAAAACAAAAAAAAAAACGGTTCACTTTCATCCACTTTCTAGTTCTGCTATGTTCGGACAAGGCACCGTGGATTTTCACCACTGACACAGGCAGGAACGCCAGCCTGTGAGGAAGACCTGCCTTGAAGGTACAGCTACGACAGTACGACATGCAACGGAAATCAAAGGAATGCCGGAACGGCTGTCACACTGTCCATGCAGGATATTCACATCGCTTCCAGTGTGCACTCCATGGCCATATAGAGAATCCGATGATTACAAGAATTAGTTATATATATATATATAGAGAGAGAGAGAGAAAGAGATTGATTGCAAGAAATATTACAAACAAATGCATTGCAAACGCATTGCAAATGCAACAAGTGCTGTGCCTGCGCACATGCCTTGTTAAACTCCTGAGCATAGCTGTCTGCCACCATTTGTGTGATCGCCTCGTGATAGTTCACCTCTGGCTTCAGGCCACTGGCCGGTTTTATCCTTTTCACTACCTTGGTGCAGAGCGGTTTTACACAAAGGCATATTCGCCAAGATACATCAATATATACAACAATATATACACCAATTAATTATCAATATACGCCAAGTCAAAGTAAAAGTCCAAAAGTCCAAATACAGAATTCAGATGTGCCTCATGATTCACGATCATTGGAGTTCTGCTTTCAACCAGGATTCGGATCATGCTCCAATTGCAATTCTCTGTTTATTCTTATTGGTTCATTCAGATTCATGTTGAAAATCAGCTACAGAAGGTTATGTCGGTTCTGTCACATTTCTGGCATGATCCTGACCACAAATCTTTCACCACATTTGATGCTGATCCCCAGCAGATTCCTTGAGCCCTTGGGTCCAGCAGCTGCATCCACTTCAGATCCATCTTCCAAGATTTCTCGGGCTCGGTAGACCAATCCTGGGAGAAACCCAAACAACTCTCCCAGTCCGTCCAGTCCATCATGTATATATATTATATGTGTGTATGTATATAAGAATATATGTTTTTCTAAGATTTTCTAACATGTTTTTATACTATAATATTTTATAATCCCAATCCCCTTTGCCAAAACTGTACTAAACGCATCTAAACGCATCTAAACCCCTTTTCAAATAGACCTCCAAATCAACAACAATCCAACAAAACAATCAATGTTTCCAAGGAATGTTATAGATGGAATCTAAAGAAGGATTACAAAGGGATGGTTCTCATTGTAATTCAGTGTTTATCGATAAATGGTTCCAGGTGTTCCGTTTATGATCAGATCATTAAAGAATATCCTGTTGATAAACACCCCTTCATCCAATTTTTCACCACAGAAAACTGTTTGGAAACATTTGGAAACCGAAAATCAGATAAAAATGACAAAACAAGTGAATTTTCAAATCCTTGAACAGTCTTCCGTCTTATCATTTTTCCAACCAAGCATCGCATCCCGCCTTCTCCAAACGGCTCTCGGTTTAGTCGCAAGGTCACGGGATGCTCAAACCATTGGTTCGAGTGGCAATCGAACGTGTACCTCGTCGGCATTTCCCGGAAAAACTGGTGGTCCCCAGGTCCGGTCAAGAAATTTGTTATGGTTTTGGTAAATGGGAAAAAATGTGTGTGAAATAGATGCGCCCTAATCAGGGAAAGGGATGAGAAGCTGTGGGATTATGAAAACATGGCACTGCAATGGTTTCCTGTGCAAAAATTGACCCGGTAAAGACTGAGAGCCGCTTGGTCCATCAGCTATGGCATGCCATCAACCGCTTCGGCGGCTTCTGTCTGAAACCTCTGAGCCTGTCTGATCTGTCTGAATGGTTCTCAGAGAGGTCCTGGAGCCGGAACATCTGGTTCATCACTATAGATGGTTTAGTACAATGCCATGCATTCACTGTCCCTGCGACAAGAACTACTGTGCACACTGGCGCTCAGGTACCACGATTATTTGGACAAAAACAGCGCTGTCAAAACCCGATGCGGTCTTCCCCATATGGAATGTTAAGAAAACAAAAAATTATGGGACCCTGATTGTTGCTGTCTTTCGGGGGGCTGATGGCTAGGCTAGGAGAGTCACTGCTAGACCGTGGTATCCTGATGCTAGACACTGTGCTCAAAAAGTTAGGCCATGGTATTTTGAACAACAGCTGCTGGAAGTGAGATGCTTGGGGACTGGCCCACAAATTAAAGAGTACCAACTAAAACCAAGGTTCTGGGACCGGTCTTATTGGAGGGACAGTAGTGCACCCAAGAGTTTCACCAGGGGTTTTGGCTGGGCCTATCATGCTGGCATGAAGCTCCAGCTTGCATGGGCCAATTGTTCGGCTGCTACTTCGTGCAACTATATGCCCAAGCAAGCTACTTCAGACTTATTGCATGCACTCAATTATTTCTGTACGTGAAGGTGTCAGCCACTCTGCAGCCATATGGCTGTGACCAGAAAACAGCTGGCCATCAGTGTCAGGTTCGTGGAACTGCACGTTTTCTTTTTGATGGAGGCGAAGCCAGATGCATCATTTACATTTCCGCAGGTACATTTTTTGAATCCACATATTCGTACAATTTCATACATCTGTTGATTTCGTCGCTGTCTGTATATTCATACAGAGATTCAGAATGGTTCAGAATGATTCTTTTCTGCAGGATCTGCAGTCGAGTTGCTTTGTAGCTCGATGCTCGTCTATGGGAAATTCTTTGTCCATGGCATCCACAGCACGTACACTGCGTACACTGCCGTGCTGGCACAACGCAGATCCACTGTGGCGCCTAACTTTGGGCCCCTTCGGCACCAGAGCTGCCAGTGACTGAACATGTTGTGATATGTTGTGGCACAATGTGGCACAATGTGGTTGACGCCAAGACTTCCTGCTTAATGTTTCTCTCTCCAACAACTGCGCACTCGCATTTGCACATATTTCCACTAGTTCCACCTGGTTCAGTTCACCGTTTATATCCGTTTATGCACCCGCACCACTGGAGGTTCATCAAGATGTTGGCTTTGGACGGAACCTGCACATGTTACCATTGATGGATATTGATGATATTGATGGCACAACATGCCGAAACTGATTCCAATTTCAACTTATCCCCGCAACATCTGTCAAATGGGATCTTCATTCCTAACAGCATTCAGGATCGAAGAAAAATAGGAAAAGAGCAAGAGGACGCTGGTTTTGCTGCAAGTTTGCTGACCTTTCCTTGTCCCCACCTGTGCTGGCGAAATCTTGTTGCCACTGTCACTGTCTACCAGCAGCCGGATGCGATCATCATCCAGCAGCAAGGACTGCCTGAGGAAATTCAGCAACAAAAAACAAAATACGGAATTACGGTAACAAGGGTTAGATCAGTAAAGACAAGTTAAATGATGCTAGATGGGCATAATGAGCATTCCCTCAAATTGCCATTTAATGAGGAAAATATGATCTGGATTTGTGAGCAAAGCTATATAAGTGTATCCCAAAAGATATGTTTGACCATCGCACGCCCCCAGCCTCAACATGGTGTACATGTTCCACGCATCATTCACGGCACCCTTCAATCGTGCATGAGAGCCTGCACTATCGCCGTGACTTCCGCCAATGACTTCACCGGTGAGCAAAGGCAACTTCAGCAACGAGGCAACTTCCCTGCCTGTGTAGTTTATGCCAACAATCAGAGCCTTGCAGGCAGGCCATGCCATGCGGCCACCAATGAAATTACGGGCACTAAGATCGGCTGCTACAATTCTGCGAGTTGAGGAGTTGAGGCCAAACATTTTACTCAGCAGCAGTTCTGCACACTGTTCTCTTCCGTAAAAGTATGTCACAGACCACAAACCAGCCACAACCTCCACATCAGGTACACTGTAGCCATGTAACCGTTGACATCCGTTGACTATGTTGACTTATGTTGTACGTTCCGATCCAGCCTTCCGCCGAACATTGGGAGTAAGCGGCTTGCGCATGATGTCAGGCCTGGAAGTGAGTTGTGTCCAAAAAATCTGCTAGTTGCAGTCAATCATTTTAATATAAATCATATTTAATCAGATTGCTTAAGTCCTTATGCCTTCCTTGCTCGTTCCAGTTTCGTAGTGTCAATGAGCTGCACCCTTTGCTCTTCCCAAGCCCAAGTTTCGAACAGTGATGCCACCTCGACCCTTCCAAGCTCCTCGTTCCGCTTGGGCAATTTGGGCAGTTTGGGCAGTTTGGGCTAGAAGTGACAGGGGTTGTCAAATGTTGTCAATCTGACCTGGAATCTGCTGAAGTCTGCCATATGCAGGTGAGGCGGAAGCTGGACCGAGCTGGACCGAGCTGGACCGAGCAGACCTAGCACCCCTTTTTTTCACCAAAAGAGATCATCCAAATCCAAATCTTCTTCGACCTGGCGAGGTGCAATGTGCCAAAGCCAAAGCATCTCATAGCTTGGTGCAATCATAGCATGCCACAATTGGATACAAATCATCTGACACAAGTGCATAATAGTGACTTTAATAGTGATATTATAATATATATATATATATTCTATTAAAATTCCAATAGTGCATACAAATAACTTTAATAGTGCATACAATTGTCACAATGTCCAAGCTGCGCCTCACCGGTCTCAAGAGAGCGCACAACGCGTGCCTGACCAAGGACGTTTCCTCAAGGCTGTTACTTGGTCAGGCACGGATCTCACGGATCTCACGCCTCGGCCCTAGCTGCAATGAGCTCCGGTCGGCTTTGCCATAGCTCCTGTTGATGCCTGGCATCCGGCAGGATTCCACACTGAGCTGACTCGGAAGTTTCGGAAATTTGACTTAGAAGAAGCACTTGGAAATACTGAGAACAGGCGTACAGATGCGTACAGCACAGGCCTGTACGACAAATCTTCCTCAACAGTGCCAAGAGTGACAAATCGCCAAAGGCAAACTCGCCTCAACAAGTGTGCAACAAATCAAGTAAAACACAATAATGTCAGTTTCGCATGCGTTCGCGTCTGAACAACTATGAAAGCCCAGTCGTCCGGCATTGTGAGCCACATTTGACTTTCTATGGACAGAAAGTCCCATGCTCGCTATACATGGAGTTGGCTTCTCTAATGTTTTGCTTCAAGTGCCTTCTCTGACCCAAGCGTAGGCAGCGGCCAAGTGCTTGTAGTTCCTTAGTTTCACAAATTGGTGCTTCGTCAAATCTGAGTGAACAAGTCTGATGTGTGGGATTAGCTAGGGAGGGACATCTGATGAGAAAGAAGTCAGCGACAAGAATCCGACAATATACCTTGGTTATCCTGGGTTATCCTTTGTTTTAATATGGTTTAATAGCTTCTCATTCAATAGCATCGAAATGAAATGAAAAAATGATCTCATTTAATATGCTAATAAAAGATCAAAAAAGTCAAGAAAATACCCAGGCCCGTCACATTCTGCAGGCACTGAACAAAGTTTGCTACCAAGAGTCATAGGCTACACTGAGCCGATGAGAACTGGCCAGCATTGGATGGACCAGCAGCACGTGATTCCTTGCAAAACAGCATAGAACAGCTACAATACAGCTACAATGCTGCAGTGTTTCTCGCTCAATGCAGCAAGCTGTTTTTTATCATCCAAGGTTGGATATGGTTGGATCAGGGCTTTAGAACGACGCACTTGGCAAAGGTGTGAGAAGTAACTGCGGTTGTCCGAGGATATTTTGGTCTGAGTCGTCCTACTGTGATTCTGAAAAGAAGAAAGTGCGCAACTTTGACCAAGATGCGCTCGCGTCAGATTGGTGCCGGACGCAGCATCTTGCAGTGAGAGGAGCAACACTTTGAAGTCTCTACCTCAGATAGATTCTAGAGTCAAAATGAGTCCCGCAGAATGCCGCACACGGCCGCACATGTGCTGGTTTTTAATGACTTTCATTTGTTTCCGCGCTAGATTAAACGTTTAGCATCGTTTAGCTATGTTTAGCTCGCGGCTGTCATGCGGTGCATTTTGGAAGCTCGTCACCACCTCGGAGCTCAGGGTGCTGCGTCGTGCCGCGTCACCAAATTCACCAAGGACGCACCAAGTCGAAGCAGCTGAGCCGAGCCGAGGAACGTCATCACGTTGCCAAAAGCTGTTCAGAACCATGCTGTCACTGCTAGCATCGTATCGCTCCTGGAGTGAATCTGCACTTGCTTTGCTGACAAAAAAACAAGCTAAACTCGAAGCCCAGTCGTGGCGGTAAAACAACACCTCCAAGAGGGTAAGCAGGTAAGAGGGTGCAATCATCTAAGCTTGCAAATACACTGAGAATGAAGTGGCGTGATTTTTAAATATTTCTCGTATGCAAATTTCAACTGCGTCAAACTGGCGGGAGCTATCATAAATATTTGAGACATTCCACTGGCCAACCCTTCTAAGTAAGTCCACAAGGGCTCCTCTAGGCAAACGTATGGCACCTGGCAAGGACGGAATTTTGGCGGAAAGCGAATCTCTTCGAGATGAAACTCGTTGCTATGCGTTGCTTGTCGCGAAATACCATCGAAACAGCATCGAAAAACTGCTGTCTTCTGCAACTCATCCCATCTGCCTCGAACTCCGTAAACGCTTCTGCCAGTTTCCGCCGCAAACTCTTCCACTGGACAAAGACAATAGCTCGTGCAGTTGGGTCCTCGCAGTGTGAACTGCCACCGTTCAAAGATCCACATCTGACCCCAAAAAGAGGACTGGACCTAATCTGCAAGATCTAACAGAGCAGATGAGCAGATCCAACCGCACGACACAGAATACATTGAATACACATGCCACAGCATACGAGACAGCATATGACCCGCACTATCCCGCACTCACGGGATATTCCGGGATGCATTCGATGCATTCGATGCATTCAACACTCTTCGACACCGTTCGTTCGACATCGTTCGCCTGGGCTTCGATGTCGCGCAACTTTCGAACGACGTGGAAGATCTTGGACCCAAAGCGGCCCAAGCGCTGCCGCTCCTGGCGCTCCTGGCGGCCGGCCAATCTGTGATCCGTGCTGTTTGTCGAACATTCGTCGAACATTGCGTTGCCATTCATTGGATTTCATCGGCATTATTGAACATTAATCGAACTGCAATGAAAAAGTGCTCGGTAGTTGCTTACTCTGTGCAGCCAGGTGACAGAATGTCGAAAAGTCAGAGACCTCCTTGTTTTACTGTGATCAACTGATACTACAGTACTATACAGTAGTACTGTGCCATGCTATGCCCAACTTACTCTGCTCCTCTGCTTGAACTGCACCCGGCTCTCGTACTCGCAAGACCTCATCCAAGGCTTCCTTTCGCAGGGACTGACGGCATAGAGCACATTCCCCAACACTCCTGGTGCATCGGCGTTGACTCCACAAAGGAAAGCTGAAGGCAACTCTGATTTTGTTCTGCACTTTTTTGAGCTCTGCTTGGCAAAATCTTGGAAGGACAGCATGCAGAGCACAATCCAAAGCACTCTGGAAAGGAATTGAAGGAGTGTTGGATCAACAAGCAGCATTTTGGCGACTGCTCAGTTTGAGGACGGCTGCAGGAAGTTGTGCGAAGTCCAGAAAATTGCTTCGTCCGCAGCAAGATTCTTCGAAGCTATCAAATGATAAGTTGGGCGCGAATTGCACCAAACACGCAGCTAGACATCAAAGGACCAGTTCACTCAGTCCGAGTCTTTGATTGGGAAAAACCTTGGGAGACATCACACTTTGCCGGCTGCAAAACCAAGAAATCATCTGCAAGGAGTCTGGCTCTCCACCGCTCTTCCTGTTCACTTGAAACAAAGCACGACTCTAAAGCATTCAAGTTTGAGCTTCAGTCATTTCATCAAGACTAATTCAGAATGATCGACAAGGAAGATAAGGAAGTATTTAAAAGATTATGTACAGTAAGTGTTATTTAAGTATGCTTGGTACATCTTGGCCCTTGCAGCTCCAGTCACTTGAGGCTGTAATCTGCAATGCTGACAGCACGATTGCCAGCTTTGAAGAACAGTTGGTCGTTGGGGTTCCTTAGTCGTTTCGACCATCTCTCAGCCGAATCCACCGCAGATCCAGTCTCAGGTCTACTGCGTGATACCAAAACACAGTTGATTCAGCAAGGGATCAAAGCCAATCAAAACCGATCAAAACCGATCAAAGCTGCTATGGTTCTGATTTTGCTGTGGATCTTATGGTTCTCATAGTTTGCATTGAAATTCTCCATTGAAACCATTGAAATCATTGAAATCATTGAAATCATTGAAATGCTGTAAAAAATAAAACTCATGATCTGTTGGTCTTCCCTAAGTGCCGTGCAAAAAGCCCAGCAGCCGCAGCCGTCCCGTGACGCTGCCCGCGGACCTCTTGAGCGCGGTGACCTGAAGTCGTCAGCTTCGTGAGAAATGTTGAGCGAGCTTGCACATGAATATATTGTGTGTCATTATAAGAATATGATATCATCTATATATATATATAATATATACATATTGTTTACATATGTTTACTATCTGCAAAATAATGCGCAATAAAGATGAAAAAACGTTTCCAAAGGGTTGCAAAATTCGACGCAAGAGATTGCATCCGTGGTTGCTTCGAGATGTCCACTGAGCAAGCAACGACTTCCTCATCCACAGTGAGGGGATTGTATCCAGCTCCAGGCGCCGCAAAGAGCGTTCTGGTGCTGGCAAGACCTCGATGGACACAAGATGCACAAGATTCAGATTCGATGCAAATCAGCGAATGAATGTTTCGCTCTCATTAGTGTGAGGCCCCCCCCTCAACAATAGCTATACCGGCTATACCCTCTTTAAAGTTGGGCGCAAAAAAGGGGTTCCCCTGGGGAAAAAATCTACACTTAAGTAAGGATTTCAATTGGCTACAATTGAAATCTTTTTTTTGTTGCCGATGAACTTGTGGTATTTGTAGTACTTGTAGTACTTGTAGTACTTGTAGTACTTGTGGTACTTGTGGTGCTTGTAGTGAGTGGGGTTCAGCATGTTGATTGCGTTACCTTTTCCACCTTAAGCTTTTTTTAATGAAACATGTAATAAGAGAAAGGGAAAGAGAAAGAAAAAGAGAAAGGGAACGAGAGAAAGAGAAAGAGAGAGAAAGAGAGGAAGAGGAAGAGGAACATAGAGAGAGGGAGAGAAAGAGGAACAGAGAGAGAGAGAGAGAGAGGAAGAGAAAGAGAAAGAGAAAGGAAAAGATAAAAAGAAAGAGAAAGAGAAAGGGAAAGAGAAAGAAAAGGTTGTTTTTGCTTCTTCTCTTGGCTCCAGGATCAGCTCTGGAAAAGTTTGCTGCAATTGTGAACCCTGAGAACAAACCTACTAAAGTGAATTGGACCCTCTCATGGCCCAGTGCCTTGGAAATTTGTGGAAAAACTGTTCTTTAATAAGGGTTTAATAAGCGGTCTGATTCTTTTGGGAACGGCAGACAAGCACGATTTTTTGCAGAACAAATGTCAAGTTTTTTTTGACTCAAAAATGTTTTTTCAAAAAACATGGTTTCCCAAGATTTCTTGCCACAATAGCGAACCTAGCTACTAATCAGGATACAACATTATGGGGATATGGTGTAATCAATGTGTAATAAATACACAGCGTCATATACTGTAGATCCAACTTCAGGGTTGTCTGGCTCCGTCCATCTTGGGATAAAATTGAGTTGTGGGTCCGGATCTTGTGTTGAAGGCATATCTGTAAATATAGCTGCAAAATGGCAACGCCGATCATCACCACAACGGCGCCATTGATATTGCATACGACCTTTGTCGAGATGTCCAATACACCAAACCCCAAGTCTTGACAAGTGAAGCGACCCCTCCAAACGTCTCCATCAGCTGCAGTTTCAAACTGCAAGGCAGTGATGAAGATCTTCCTGGGCCACAGGTATTGGTTTCTCTTCTTTGTTTCTTTGCTGCAAGGGATCAATTTGAATGTGAAAGGTGCAAGGTTCCATAGAGGTCCGTGAAATACGTAGTACACTGTCAATCCATTTCAATCCATGTCAATCCTTGCTTGGTTGCATCTTTGTTGTCTCTTTTTACAAAAACATTGCGTCTTGGAGTCTTGGAGTCTTGAATCAAATTTGTTGTCGTTCTTCTCATTCCTTTTGCCCAAGGCACTGCACAGCACCTTTGAAGTTCACCACCACAGTGCGCAAGGGATCTTCTGCCCCGTTGCCACCCTGCATGGCACTTTCGCCTGACAATAGAAAAAACTTTGGGGAGGGTTCATTCATGATTTCTTGGTTCATTGATCTTACTATATGTTATGATTAAATATAATTGAATAATTGATGCTTGTACATGGTCCATATGGCCATATGGTTGTCATATGGTTGTCATATGGTTGTCATATGGTTGCAATTTGTTCCCAGTTCATGCCAGTTCAGCATCTCCTGTGTGTTCAATCGTCGAGTCACGTGTGTTGTCCGGGACGTCCACATACTCCACGCCCTTCACCACATCTCGCCCAGCAAAGGCATCCAGCTTCGCCTGACGGCCACGTATGCCACGGCAGTTGGGAATCATCGGGAATCATGGGAAGCAAATTGCTATGACAACTCGACTCGACTGGTAGACTATGGTAGACTAGACTGACTATAGTCACTATAGGTGGTCTTGATATGTCTTGATTCTATGAGTTTTGAAATACCCGCATGAAGAAAATGTATGGCTGAAATTCGCAAAGGGGCTCTGGTGTTGAAGGCGCGGTCTTCTACGATGTTGTTCCTGGGGTGTCGTAATGGTGTCGTATTTGGCATTGTCTCAAGTCTCACCAAGTTTCGCTGATCTTGAACTCAAGAACTGTGCCGTGTCGACATTTGCCACATTTTGCCACATTTTGCCACATTTTACCGCTCTATGTAAAGCGCAGCTTGATCCCAATCTGAGTCTGGGACCGTTGTGTGCGGATATACCTCGCATTGCCATGACACCAGATGACACCAGCTATCAACAACCAACAGCCGTCAACGGCCAAGGCGCCGCAGCTCAAAGGTCACTGGTTTTCCCAATTGGCTTTGCTGTTCAGCGAGAACTTTCTCGGCCACTGCCTGAAAAAACGTCTTCATGTTCAGATTCGGCTAGCCATACGTTTCTATACGTAAGTTCAGCAGTTTTCACTTCACATCTGAAGAGTTTGGTGCCTTTCCACAAGGTCCTTCTTCTGCGACAAAAAGAAAATCCCTCTTTCTTTGATTGAAAAACGTTCTTTCTGTTTGTCCCGTTCATTCCAAGCGTCACTTTGGCCGTTGGCCAGGTATGGCTTGCCCAGCGGTGCTGCATAGCCTTGTAGAGTCTGCTCCACTCTCCATCCTTCAGCATCTGGCCAGTGGCGAAAAGAAATCAAAGGTTTTGCGGCTGATAAGGGGCCTTTGGAATTGGATTCTAGGGTCCTTGGTAATTTAGTTGCACCCCTGATTGTAAGATATGTTTTCCAACATTTATTTCTTTACCTATCATATCTATCAAGTAGGTGGTCTTGGTATATGCTAGTGAAGTTATCTCAAAGGAAAATGTGTATTGGGTTAGTGTCCCTTGGATGTTTCAATGTTTTTAGCCCTTATCCGCCATTTAGTGCTATCCGAACGGGATTGATAATTTGCCCCTTTATCCATTTACCCTTTTACTCGTGGAAGTACCAGTCATGATCGCCAATTCGATCGTAGTTCACATATGTTTTTTTTGTTGAGTACTTAGATAAAGTTTCGGTATATCATACCCTGAAGTAATTGTAAAGGCATGGAGTATTATTTCCAATGGGACCTTTGATTCAATCCAAGATGGTTCTATTTTAGGCATCAGAACACATTTAAATAAACATGGTTCTATTTTAGGCATAAATTTACCTTTTTGTAACCTAACATGACAGTTAAACATCTGCCATGTAAATTGAAACTATAATGGTAAAATTAACTGAGACGTGGTGCGTTTTCTAGTGCCGTGGTTAATGACCAGAGGAATCCCATTCACTATCAAGCAATAGTAAACTAATTCTCACCCTTTTACATGGCCATCCTTTACCCACACCCCATCGGGGTGGCAGTGCCGGGGGCTGGAACGGGTGGGACCGGTGGCCGGTGGTGCACTTCACCTTCTTCGCTATTGAACTTTTTGGAGGACTGGAGTGGGTGGTATGGCCTGCTTGGTGGGAAACCCACATTGATAAGGCATCATTGGAACCCCAAACTGGGCTGCATCCCTTAGGTCTATGAGATTGCCATCCCTTCCCTCCAATTGCAGGACGGCAGGGCAAAGAAAGAGGGAAGTAAGGCGCCATTTTCGGGTTTGGCTGATCTGGATGTGTGGCTCCCTTGGGGTGATTTCTACATGTTGGATAGGGACGCCCCAATATAGAGGTTGATATACATATATATATATATATGCTAATAGATATTGATATGGGCGTAGCTATATATATATATGAACATAAATGTGTAAAAAGTGCAACCAATTCTAATTTGACATGTTTCCATCCTTTTTGGGGATGGCTACAATTAGTGTCGGGGTTGGAATGTTTAGATATTCTTCGACAGTGATATGGCAAGATTTCGAAAGGGATGCATGTCCTATTCCGATCTCAAGGCTGCAACTCTTTGATTTCTTGCTGCCATGGCAGAGCTACCCCCGGATGATGAGGAGGGTCCTAGCATGCCAAAGGCTTCGCAGTCACTGCCGATGACACATTTGGTGACCCCGCAGCGCAGGGCAGTCCTTCCTCCCAAGTTGTGACTTGACATTTTCCCAAATCGTCGTTTGCTTCTAAATTCCTATAACATTATGGTGGGAGATTGGGTTACAAATATTTGATTTTTTTGGGGTGAATACGGGGGATACAGACTTTAGGAAACAAATGACTTGGCAAAGTGAACTGAGGGATGGAAACTCAGCTCCAAAGGGTGACCCGGCACAAGCCTTCGAATGCTGTACATCTCATTGTGTCCAAACCTTTCTGACTAGCAAAGCTCGATCGGAATATTTGGATGATCCTTGGCATCTTTTATCTAGATATGTGTTTTTCCAAAGCTCAGATAACCCTTGAAGGATTTTATCTATTGGCTTACCCCTTACGTTCTGGTAATTCTGACAAATCTCAGGAAACATTGGAAAAATTCTCCAAGATGACTGACAATGAGGTGAACGCTTTTCTCATCGGATTGCTGGGGAGATGTGACAAGGTCTGGTGTTAGTGTCTAACAACAACTAGTTGGTATAGGTACCCATGGTTGGTCCCCCAAATCCCTTTGTATTCCAACGATTCCAGCTACATTGATTATGTTCAAATTGGTTATTATATATATTGATTATGTTGTATGGTGATGAAAAAACCCTTTCAGGTAGGTGGACGTACGAAGTATGCCTTATGTGGCTTTGGTGTTTGCCGTGATGGATTCGCTGCACTCATGCGCATCAACAAGAAAAGGGCACCTGGCATTGAATTTCTATGTTTAAATTAACTTGGTGAAGCTTTATCCATTCCATCATGTGAATGGTGTTATGAAATCTGCCTTTCCCCAGGTACAACGCCTGCTTTCATCGGGTGGTGTTGAAGTGAACCAGGTCCCAGTCGACAGGAGGAAATTCAATGGTCCCAAGCAATGCCCGAAGACCATATCGGCTGATGCATTTTTCAACCATTACTACCACAACGTGGCCTCTCGACAGGACATGATTTTGTATATATATATATACACATACAAATCAACATATATATATATATGTAGTAGTATAGATATATAAATATAGATTAAGATAAAAATATACATTACTAACTGTATATCTATATATTATAATGTATGTATAAATAAATATACATGAAATATAAAAAGAATATAAATGCTAAATAACAAATAAATAAATATCTTTATTTTTACAAAGATTATATTATATCCTATTACATTACAAAATAAAGACTACATTCATCTATATATACATATTTGTGCATGTTTACTTTCCACCTCCTAGAGCCTTAGTGTGATAAGGCCATTTGATTGTAGTGGAATGGTTACCAACAAATTTGAGGCTGAGCCTCTTGCAGAGACACCAGCGGTTGAAGATGACCCATATGTGTCGCGCTTGCATTGTACCGGTGACTTCCTTCCAGGCTATTGGTTTTTAAAACAAATCCACCAAAAGCGGATTACTTTCAAACAGTTTGCTGTATCACGATCATGATAGACATAGTGCGACATTTGCCTCATTCCTGTCTCCCTGTGAGGCCCTGTGACCGATGATGCGCCTCCAAGTCTCTTTGGGCTGGAGCCGAAGCTTTCAGACAAGACGTGTGCCAAGGCCAACGCTGTGACCGGTTCCGGCCATGCGGGCTTGATGGGTGGAAAGGGTACCTGGGTCTTCCATTCGAACATTTAAAATGTTCATTTTTCAGATTGTCTGTTTCTTTTCCAATATGTTAATCCCTAATGGACCATAGGATGATGATCAATTTCTGTGGTGGTGCTAAGGTGCTTTGCAATGCAGGCATGTGCACCACATGACCATGGAGGCATGGTACCACATCAACTGTGGCTGGTGTGATTCGAACAAGGTCCCACCTGAAGAGCGTGCTAGCAACCGGACTTTCCGGATCGTGTATGATCAGACCTGGAAGGTGACAATGCCAATGCGGGAGATTTCGCAGCATGCGAGGTTTGGTTGGGAACAAAAGTTGTGGTTGCCATTTTAACATCTATTTATTTGTCTAGTTGGGGACTACCAAAATCAAAAATAAACCCTCAAACAATGAATACTGACTGGCAACTTGGTTTCACCTAGATTTTATTTATGGAATGCCAATGAATTGTGACTGACAGGTGCTCCCAGTGCGCTCACTTCACTGCTCGAATTGGGCATGTCCACACGGCTGACGAAAAGGCTGCTTTGGAGCACTGTCAGAATATCCATTTGTCCAATGTTCGAACCTATCGGACCCTACAGGCCAGGCTGGCCACATTGTCCGAGCAGTCGACGGTGGTGGACGCTACGGAGACTTGCCTGATGATTTCTGTGGACGGCTTGGATCAAGCGAAGACCCGGTGGCCTAGAAATCTTTCTTCCTCCAAGAGCTTGGACAAGCTGTGGCGGCCACAGGTCCACTTGATTGGCTACATCTGCCACGGCGTTACTTGTTTGATTGAATATTCAGGTCAACGCTCCTTGTTTGTGATTTTTAGGGATGTTCAGTGGGTATTGGGATCCAACCCCTAAGTATTTATCCTGAAATCAAACTTCTTTTGTGTTGAGGTTTGTGAAGGATTCTTCGTGGTTCCTGCTGATGTTCCCAATGACTCGAGTTGTGAGATCACTGTGATTGAGACCATTTTGGATTGGGCCCATGATATCCTTCGATCTCGCAAGTGCTCCATGCCCACAAACTTGGTCTTGGAGGCTTGGTTCTGGCCCAACATTGGACTTGTGGGGTGGTGGGGGTCAGAAAAAATCATACTTTTTTATTCTCTCTTGCAGCTCGTGGAGTCTCTCGATTCCAGGTCTTTGGAGGTCGGGCTAGATTGTTTCATTCAACAGCCTCTAGCTTCCCATTCCTCAGTTCTGTGTTTTTGAGACCTGTCCGTGATACCCTGCAGACCGACAATTGCGCGCGAGAAGGGAAAAATTCCATCGTAGCAAAGTGGTCATGCCAAGCAGTGGCGAAGGGAAAGCGCCTGAGATATGCTGTAGCAATGATTTACTTCTAGGTTTGGTTTGGAATGGCTCTAATACTAAGATTAAGTTTGTTCCCCACCTGCCAGGTGAGGGTTGTTAGATT